ACACTCCGCCTTTGAAGGGGTTGCACCTTCTGCAGACGAAGCAGTGGGTCTATTTATATCCCCCCGACCCACTGGGGGTAAAAACAATTAGGATAACAACCTTTTCTAGTGAAAATACAGAACAGAAAAAACGACATCTACTGGGCCCAAATATTTAACCAGAAGAAGTAACAGTTCACCTTGAGATGTGACTGTAACCTGCTGTTTTTTCCGTTGCTCCAACATATTCTTCAGAGCAACTGACGACGATGAAGACATTGCAGAAGAGGCAGCTGCTGAGGCAGAAGACTGACTAGTCTTTGACCCCATGTGCCGAATTATAGTTCCATGATTCCTGCTGGACGTTGAATCATGTCTTCCACCTGATTAGAACAGGAATAAAGCAAAAATTTGTATCAATCGCAAGTCAAGCCTCCCGGCTGGATGAGATGGACATTTTTTTTTTTTTTAAAGAAAACAAAAAGGAAACACTTTTCCTACCTGCCTGAGACAAATGATCCAAAAGCAAAAGACTGAAAACTTCAAACTGTCTTTTTCACATTAACTCTTTGCAGAGGCAGGATTAGGGACAGCTGCCAGTGCTTCCACCAGCTGAAGCTGAAAAGTAAGGAAAATTCTGCCGGGGGTCTGGGGGCCTCTGCGGCCCCTAGCAGGGTCCAGGGACAGCGTCCCGGGTGGGGGTTCAGGGGGCGAAGCCCCCGAAGAAATTGAAATTTAGTGCTTTTAGAGAGTTGAAAATGGCATTTGGGAGCCTATTTGAAGAGATTGCCTAGACTAGAGCCCATAACATTTATTTTTTCACCAACATTTTGTCTTGTTTGATTTCTTCACCAACATAACTTTCCATTGCTGGCAATGTTTAAAAGCAGGTTCCCCTTTCATTGCTACAATAACTATAATTCAATTAATTAATTTGACGTCGCACCATTGATAGCAGGCAAACCTGGGAATAATGAATAGAGAGGTATACCTTCACAATACAGTTGCGCAGCGTATACCCAAATTTTTTCTCAATTTTCACGTCTGAATGTCGCCTGTCACAACCTCAGAACACCACTTTGAATTATTTTTTATTTTACCTACGGCTGGATCGGGCCGATCGAGCCCGACTCGATCGCCTGAAACTGAAAACAAACACGTTTGTTTTTGAGGCGACCGAGTCGGGGGCGATCAGCGCGATCGGCCGATCCCATTCGTAGTCTCGTAGTGGGCACCCGCGTATCAGCATATTATTATATTTCTTTCATCGCGGCCCGTATTGCGTTCACGTGCCGTAGAATCTTCACATTGATAATTTCTCTAGATTTAGACAAATTTGCAAAAAAAGTTTCTTTCTGACAGTAATTTTTTTGTCTAAGATCACAAGTCAATTTACTTGATCAACGCGCAGATTTTCCAGCCACGGCAACAATCCGAAGATAGACAGAAGGAATGAGTGAATGATAGAAAGGAGGAAATTGGCACAAAAGGTTCGCCAGATTTTGATCCATCTGCAGGTAAAAAATGTACTGCCGACCAACCCGCAATGAATTCAAGGGACATAGCGGTATAATGGCCGATTGCAGGAAAAGCGCAATCTGGCAGGTTTCAATAACTTTAACTTGTTGCCGAGAGAATTACCGTAAATATCCGTAACTACAAGACGATAGGAAGGCGAGTACGAAATTTCGGCAGTCCTGCGCTGTCGCAGTTTTTTTTACGGAGGGAGTTGATGATGAAGGAGGAACAAGTACGGGACTGGCAGAAAGTACGGATTTCCGTAAAAATACGGAAGAGTGGAAGCACTGAGCTGCATTCGCTGGTGACGCATGAATTTTAGCCTTTTTTAGGGGCCAATAAAAACATTTTACATTTAGAGATAGAGCAAAATGTTTTTCTGTTATAGAAACTAGAAAAGAACTTTTTAGGTAATAGCATCATTTAGCTAAAAAAAAACCAATAGCTTTGACGCAGTTTATTGAAGAAAAAGTGGTCCATCAGGCCAAAAAAAAAATTCCTCCTGGCACAACAAACATTCAGGTACAGACAAGATAGAAGTAATTTTTAAAAAGGGTCTCTACATACACACAAACATACTCTCATAACAACAGAAAAGCCACATTACAACAAACAGTCCTTTTTGGAGTGATAATCCATGAAACAGGGGTGAACACAGAAAGTTTTGTCACAAGTATCACGCTTGAAATGTGACTGGAATTCTGTTCCTTAGTTCTTCCCTGCTCGCTCTTGCGCGGGCTGCCTTATAACACACAAAGCAGGCATTCCTTTTCTTCTTAGCTGCATCCATTGGAACAAGGAAATGCCTGCTAAACAACCTGTCAATGCAAGGTCCATTGTCAATGGTCAGCTCATCCTCACAACGGGCAGTGGCCAGTCCAGTGCAGACTTCCATGACGAACCTGCAGAGTTTCAGGGGTTTCTGCCAGTTGGTCCTCCTTGCTTTATTGTGCAGGATTGAGGCCTGAACCATGCAGAGTGTGAGGAGGTGCAGGGCTACCCTTTTTCACCACAACTGAAGTGCGCCGCGAAAAAAGTTGTGCCCTCCTCTTTATTTCATATCGGTGATTTCACAGACACGACTATACGTGAGGAGTCGTGAGGATCCAAAAAGACGTGCCTGAGTGCAGTACTTCTTCGAGTGCGGACCGGCTCGCCCTGGTATCGGGTGTTCCGCGACGCCGTGGAAATAAAACAAAGGCTTAACAAAAGGGGGGGCCGGCAACTGAGCTGTATTCGTCTGCTGAGCATCATCTTTTTTACACAGTTGGACAGAGTCGCGCTGACCTATGGGATCACCACATCCGACCTAGCTGCTCGTCTGTTTCGCGGCGCACTTCAGTTGTGTGTGGCAGTATATTTCAGCCTTAGATTTGATCATGACAGAACTTGACACCCACACTTAAATTTCACATGCCATTTTTCACAATGACCCTGCGCCTCATCTCACACAAAAATTGTTCCCTCTATCTGGAGAAGAACACATTCTCACAACCTACCCAGTCAGACTAAAGTCCAATATTGCTCAAGTCGAGTTATTTTGAAACAACCTTTAGAAGTGGGCAGTCGCACACTCACCTGAATCATTCCTCATGCCTGCTTTCCTTTTTCGTGAACTCTCAAATTTATCATACGATGTTATGCTGTACCCTGCTTCCATGTTCACTTCTTCTGCTTCAGACAAGTCATCATCTTCATTGCCAGGGCCCTCTGCAAAATAAATTTGGACGTAAATAAAGGAATCACATTGACAGGAAGCTAACACACATAACAGATTGGGAGTAACAAATGGATATGAAAGAAGAAATACACTCCAATTATGCCATACAACCAACAACATGCATCAGACGAAATCAAGGCAAGTCCTTTTTCATTACATTTCCAAGACATATGAATTGACCTACGATTTTTGTGTATTTACATGCGAAACAAAAAGTACTTTAGTTTTCTAGCTGAAGTCTGGAAATCAATTCAGTCAGAAAGCCGACAGTCCTGATGCATGAATTGGCTAGTTTTGACACCTATTTCATTCCCCTGAGAGGTCAATTAAAAAGAATACTATTTTTTGAGTGTATTTACCGGCAGAGCTGTTAAAGTACTTTTAAAAAGGTACTTAAGTACAAATTTAAGTACACTTAAGTACAGTAAAAGTACTTTCCTGTAAAATGTACTTGAGTACAAGTACTTTTTTAAAAAGTACTTATGAGTACATTTTGAGTACTTTCTGCTAATATGCTAAAACACTTCAGTGCTAATGCAAAGCATCATATTGAATAACATATCTAGTATATTTAACAAATTAGGCCATTTATTACTAATAATGTAAACAGTATACAAAGCATTTGAATATACACACTGAACGTAGAAGGAAATGGTCCGTGAAATTGAAAAAAACCCAGCAAACACACAGACGCAACTATAGTGAGTGATATTATGAATAGAACTTGTTTGAGCAAGACAATATGATCAAATGTAAGTCAGTCCTAGAGGTGGGAAAGTAGGAAAAGTATCCAAATTGGAAAATGTAGAGACAAAGTTGCTCTTATTAAGAAAATATAAAATCGATGAAAATGGCCAGCAATTAAAATTGGAAATGTACATTAAATCCTCAAGGAATCAAGGTAGCCTTAAGCACAAACCTCCAAAAAAGTTAAAAAGAAATTTAGGTAGACTAAAAATTGTTAGATTGATATACATTGAAAACTCAGTTACTGTTGCAATTGATTATAATAGTGGTAAGACAGATTTTGGTCACACTGTGTAGTCCATGGTGCCCACGGCAAACCAAAATAGGCCTACATGTAATTTCCTAGAGTCTAATAAGTGTAGAGTAACCAAAAATTCTCTACTAACAGTAGTCTTCGCCTAAGATCCCAGTGCTCGGGAGCAAGGGAAATACGGGATCTTAGCCGACAAAGCCATGGAAGAATCTACAGTGGCCACTGACGTGACCCCTGGGTGGGTTTATGACATATGGCAAGCAAAGAGTGGTCAACCTTGATGACCAATCACAGTAGCATGGTGGCATGAGGCATGCCATAATATTTTACCGTACACTCATTAGCATATCGTCTCGAGATCTTTATCTACGTTTATCAGTTGCCCCTCCCCTTTACCTGTCCAAAAATGTTAGCCTTCCATCTCTGATTGAGTCTCCCCGCCTTTGTCGTTACGTACCATTACGCTGTGACCACACCAATTAAAATTCAGACTGTCTCGCAAATTTGTGAAAAGAGAAAAACTAATTTACAACTTCAATGGACAGGGAAGAGTTCACAGTTCGATGTGATCCTGCCAAGAGCGAATTTGTAGGCCCTACCCACCTTGCGAGTAAAGTAAGTTCAGGTGGCGAGCTCAGGTGCGAGTGTGATGTTTGGTGAAAAGAAATGCATCGGTCAGTTCACACCTCGGTGTGATCCCGCCTGGGGATCATTGTACTGTTTCATGGAGTTTTACAACGCGTGTGATCACTTTCACGAGAGTGGCTGATCTTTGACGGACGCGACGGGCAGTTCTTTGATCTCAACTTTTAAACTCTTGGTTGATCGGCTGTGCCAGCTCGGGTGTTTGTTCCGTAAATTATGATCAGAAATGCCGGCACTTACTCTTTCATTAAGCTTCAAAAGTACTCAAAATGTACTTTAAAAATACTCAAAAGTACTTTTATAAAAAGTATCGGAGTACAGTAAAAGTACTGGTTCTCAAAATGTACCGGAGTACAGTAAAAGTACCGAAAATTGTAACGTAAGTAGAAGTACCGGAGTACTTGTACTCCGTTACTTCCAGCTCTGTTTACCGGCTATACAGGAAATACGCTTGTTTTCTAGTAGAAATCTCGAAGTTAATTTAGCTGGTTAAAAACTTTCATCATGGAAACTGCATATACCTGGAAGAAAAATCATGCCAGAAATAAGGGTTAAAAACATTTCTTTGCTTTCTCAAATCTTTTTAGTTTATTTTCATTTTGCTCTTTTAGCCCTGCTCATTTTTGGAAAAGGATTATATTTTGCTAATCTTAATTTAGAAAGAAAGAAAGAAAAAAAAGTACAACCCCCTTCCCTTTTGGCAGATATCATACTCGTGGCGTCGGTGGCCTAGTGGTTAGGCTCTCGGACTCGCAACCGTAAGGTCGTGGGTTCGAATCCCGTCAGGGGCCCAACGTTGTGTCCTTGGGAAAGGCACTTTACACGAATTTTCCTCACTTCACCCAGGTGGGAATGGGTACCCGGCTATAGACGGCGAAAGATCTTGTCAGTTTGTTAGTGTTTGAGCGCTTAATCAGCTGCTTGCACTGTATGCTTCCCGGGAAGCTGAGAATTTTCGGAGTGTTCTATGGTCAGCTGGGGTAATAATATAGTGTAAAGCGCATAGAGCCTGCAGTTGAACAGGGATATGCGCTATACAAATGCTATCTATTATTATTATTATTATACTTTAACATTTTCAAAAGGATCAAACTAGGCTTTACTCACCATTTTGAACAACACATTACAATATGTGCGATACCCACATGTGAAACTCTCCCCAAGTAGATAAAGCTCACTGGTGTTACAAAAAAGGTTTTTTTTCCAAATCTCGCATACATCTATATCATTATATTATTATTAGTGCTATAGTACTTGAAATACTTTCAAACAAATGGGAGCTACCTTGTATAGCCACTGAATAAACCAAATGCTTCAGCAGGTTTCTTTTCATTAACCTTTTATTAAATGCTTAAATATATTTGCTGCTCCTGTGCAAAAGTGAAAGTAAAAAACAAAAGTCTCTTCACCTGATGCTGTCGTAGTGGAGTCAGACGTGTGCCCATCATCTTCAGCTTGAGAATGGGGAGTCTCAGCATTGACAACTTTGAGGAAGACTTCAGCCATGCGCTGCTCTTCCTCTGAGCATTTGTTCAGTTCAAGGTCATATTTCTTCTTCAGTTCACTTTTACGCTTCGCCAGCATCTGTATCTCTCTCTCTTGCTCCACATCTTTTTTCTTCAGGTGCTGTAAACAACCAAATGAGTGTTGTTAAGACTTTGTTTAGGTAAAAATCAAAATGTCAGCCTCACACACTTGTTTGAGTTAGAACAACGTCATGCTTTTTGAAATATGAAAGACCAACTGAATATCTCCTTCTTGTCCAACATTTTTCTTCCTAAACAAATAATGGGGATATTATTTTACAGCAGGCTGGGCTGATTTTGTATTATCATACCGCTGTTCCAGAATCCAAGAAACGGTAGGTGAAGCCATATATAATACACTAGAAAATCCCCAATCATCCACTCACGAATAAAGAAGTAAGTGCGAAGCTATTTAAAAAGAAGCATGTAAAGACACACACTACAAACGGTCATCAGGTATAAAAGGACTGGGAATCCCAGTAGATGAGTGATCAGTGAGCTCAGGCCGACAATGTCAAGCATAACTGAATTATGTTTAAGTGGACAATCACTTGGTGTATTGATGTGACATTGATGAACTGATGAACATTACTGCAGGCCTACTTACTATTCTAAACTAAATTTGCCAACAGGGACCTATGAGAATGTAGTACTTAATCTACAATAAAAATAACATGAAAAGCAAGAAGACAGAAATATCATGAGACAGAAAAGTAGTGCAGTGCAACTCATTATTGGAGTCCTACGGCCATCAATGTAAAAAAACCAACTGAGCGACTGACATTCTGAGACGAGATACATTTCAACACAAAAATTACCTTAATATACTTTATCGCACCCTGAAGTATTGATTGAGTCGCAACTCTCTTATTTTCTAAAGATGGCACACACTGTTGAAGATGGTTGAAGCATTCCCGAAGTTGCTTCCTCCTGAATAACAAAAAATGGAAATGATGTTTGTGACCCATACCTCACAACTATGAGACAGAGTAAGGCTTTTCAACGTATGGGTAAGAAAACAAATAGTCAAGACATTGTAAAATTCAAATTTAAGTGCCCACAGAATTTTCAACACTGTTTTTCTATTTTTTTAAAAGACATTAAGACAAATAGGACGCCTAATTCCCTGAAACCAAAGCATTGCTAAAAAAAATTATATTTTTGTCATTTTTGAATAGCTGTTGTCATACTGAGAGGAGCTGCCATTTGCTGTATGACTTTAGTGGCACATAAAAAAACACTCATTTATTAATTCAGCCTGCTTCCATATATACTACTCTTATGACGAATTTCAAAAGTCACAAATTCAGCAAAACATACAAAGAAACATTTACATTCTAAACCTGCTATTTAATAACTTTGTTGTACGCTACCTGTTTTTTTCCAGCTGGTTGTGTACTTCCCGTGTTCCAGCTCTGAAAAAAAAAAGACAGGATGATAAAATATTATAATAATAATAATAATATATTAATATATAACATTTATATAGCTCATTTCCCAAAAAAAGTAGCTCAATGCGCTTTACATTGGAATACCCATTTTTCAAAAACCTTTCTTACTACTTCCTTTCTTCTCATGCAATATACATTAATGCACACACACACACACACACACACACAGACTATTTTCATCCAAACATAGGAACAGAACAACTATAATGAAAGACAACGTTAAAAGCTTATGAAGGATAGGCCTGTAGGAACAGAAAATGTTTAAGATGTCTTTTGAAGCTATCAAGTGTTTTTATTTGTCTTAGTTTCATGGGTAATCTGTTCCACATAAATGGACCAAGATATGAGAAAGATCTCTCTCCATATGATTTGTATGATTTTACAGGTGTCACAAGTAGGGTGTTATCGTTTGATGATCTTAGGTTTCTCCCTGGTTTATATATACTGATAAGTTCTTGTAGATAAAAAGGAGCAGTTTTATTTACACATTTGAAACACATGACGCAGATTTTAATATTATTCGTTCTTTTACAGGGAGCCAATGCAGTTCTTTTAATAATGGAGTGACATGGTCTCGTTTTTTAGATCTTGTTATCAGTCTAGCGGCATTGTTTTGAATTACTAATAAACGATTCAAATATTTGTTGTTCAGACCTGCTATGCCTTGCATTGTTTTTGCACACGAAGAACCTTAACCTTTCATTTTGTGACTTGGATCCATGATTACTTTGACATGGTTATTAGAGGCAAATATAGAGATCATTCAACTCTTTCCAAGCTACTCAACACACTGCACCATTATTATTTTACATTATAAGCGATAAAATAATAATGCAGGGAAAGAGTTAACAATGTGACAAGTTTTTATCAAATATGATATTTATGCAGCATAAAAAAAATTAGACATCGATACAGCTGAAAGGCAACAAGAAAAAGAAATTACTCACCCCCCTGCCCTCCTCCTTTCTGCAGCAGGAATCCCATCCTCCAGTGATCCTCTTCCATTATCTGAAAATGGCAACTGTATGCCTGAATTTTCGTTGTTTTCATCTTTGGATTTTGCATACTGATGAAAATTGGCACCTGATAACAAAAAAATCCATGGCAGATTTTGACAACATATAGTAAAAACAAACAAAACCCAGAGCAAATGATATTACTGTGTTCCCCAAATCTTGCTCAACTTTTCTAAAGGTTGTTTGACCACCTGAAAGAAATAGTAATTATGTGTGATACAGTGAAACCAGGCATATTCATATATATATTTCAAAATTATGAAATCAAAGTAATCGACATATTTTGCCCAGTTGGCAATTTCATTCAAATTTCTTATTCAAGCTCAACACCTTTGCCTTTTATGTCCATTTAAAAACATTTCTGTGTGGATTCTACGAAAAGGCACAAAAACCATTAACTTTGGCAACCATTTTCTTGTTTATTTTACCTCAGACACCATGTAACCCCAACCTCTTTCACTCTCAAATAATATCAAAAGCAAGGCAAATACCCTCATACAAATATGTCCAAAAGTTGACAAGCACCTGATTCCACCATGTAGTGACACAAATATTCTTCTACACACAACATTATGCAATGAAACTTTCTAATCATGTCATTAAGACACAACCAAGTGAATAAACTATAAAGTAGAGTTGAACAAGACTTGATGGAAACGTGTAAGATGGAAACCTTTTTTCTATGCTGTGCCATTCTCAACTAAAATTACAACCTCACTCAGACCTAACTTTGCAAAATGCCAGGAAATTGTTTGCGTAGTGTGCAATCTCTACTGAGGAGGAAGCGTATCAGAACGTGGTGACCATACAGCTGAATACACCAGAAAGATCAATAAAAGAGCCTTCAAGTGGCCGAAGCGTGAAGGCAAGATCTGCTGTTCACTCCAGTGATGTGCAATAAATATGATCCTTGGTCTAGACTATCCACTATGTCACTGTCCTCAGTCAATGGAGAAGGTAGTTGACCTACACTCATATCATGATCATGCACCCTCCCCCCTCTCATAACATCTCTATACATAATTTGCTTAATAATTAACTAGATCTACCCTCGCAGACCCGTAACTTTTTTTTACACTTAGCGTTACACGAATTCCTATATAATATATATATATATATGTTTTGAATACAAAAAATACATGTTCAAAATGTCATGTGTTGGTTATGTGCGTGCTAGACAACAGTTGAACCTGTGTAAGACGGAATCGCAAGGGAGCCAGAAAAAAATTCCATCTCAGACAGGGCATTTTAGGGAGGGGGGGTGTTTCAAAGGCCCAGCCGGTGGGATCAAGGACTGCTTGTCTGGTCAGCAAGCAGTGGTCAGAACGGCACACCTCTCAAGTGCTATCGTCTCTGATAATGAAATGCATCAGTCTTACTTATCCAATTACCACCAGTGCTTGCATTTCATAGGACCACTGTTTGACCTAAAAACAAGCGTTTGCACATCTTTGCTTCCAATCTTAGCCCCACCCATTGGTGTAATGAGCAGTCAACAAATGCCACCCTTTACTGCCATATAACAATGATTCGAGGAACTCTTTTCTCGGCAGGCTGAGCGATCAGGGCGCCAGGCATTGGTCAAACTAATTTCACACCTCGCTCCGGCCACCAATGAAAGTTTCCGTCATTTAGATCTAGATTAGTATTGAGTATGATCAGCAATAAATTATAATCATGGCCACATAGTTTTGGTATATGAATCTCTATAAAAAGAAGGGGTGAAAGAAATAGAAAAGGTATGAGAGTAAAATGAGAAGGCCTGACTGTACTGTTGTTTGGGGCAAAGAGAAGAGTTGAGGCCAGCCGAGTTGAGTCAGTAATAGTAATAGTAATAGATCTAGATATATAGTAATCATTTTATTTAGAAGAAGAAAAAAAAGGGGGGGGAGGGGCAGACGCAGAGGAATGATCAACTCATCCAGAAAATTTGATATATGAACACTACCATCTTTGCCAAATGATTCGGATAAATATCAATCAATACATGTCCAATTCCTATATCGACCACCAAAAAAACCCAGGTGAGGACAGAATGCGCCAACGACTCAACTCCAGCCTACTTGTAGGGCCTACAACGTGATCGTTGATGATAGCGGACGCGTGAGGCCGTGACCTACTTTTCATGCAGAACGCATTAGTAAACGCATGTCAATGTAGTGGGTCCTTTGATAAACTGAAACCACACATTTAAACTCGTTTGTTAACAAATGCTGTCGTAACTAAAAATGAGTTGTCCCTTTTACTTCATGAGCCTTTAATTAGTCATCGTAAGGTTAAATATTGGCAAATTGTCGACTGTCGGCGAATGTCAGGGTTAGGATGTCCCTGCGCTGTGGGGCCATCATCAGATCGAGGAGGGTGGGAACATGCCAATGTACACACCTTGACCTCAAAGTCAGAATTTAGTAATTATTCCAATAACAAGACAGCATTTGACACAAATAGTCAAAATCAAGTCTCTGGTACACTACTGCGTGTTTAATTATGCGAAATGCCTCACAAATTCACTAAATTTCAAGATAACGTGAGTACTTACCACGTGCCGATCTAGCGGAGACACGATCGGTTCCATCGTCCGAATGTTCCAATTCTAAAACTTTGGCCGCTTGTAGTAGTAGATCCATTTGGGACCTATCAAAATGATATATTTCCAGTTATTCAGTGACCGATTTGTACAAGTAATACCGATTTTTCAAAAGCACTGAAGCCTGAGGACAACGATAACGACTTAGAATAGTCCTCAAGCCTTCGGCTAAAACATGGCGGTTTCGTTCATCACAACCAAAACAACACATGCACCACGAGTAACACGTGGCTTGTGATTGACAGGTTTGTTTTGTTTCTAGACCAATGAAAGTTGTTCTTTAAATAGAAGGAGAATCATGTGACAATGACCTAAACGGAAACAAACTAAAATAATCTGCCTGACATGTACGTAAGAACCGTGCACTGAAAATGAATCAAGCCCCCTTTTTAAAAGAGTAGGCCCTAATCAGTTTTGTCAGACACTTCCCTCGTGACTCCAGCCAGCATTACGACCAATGCGAAACTGCAATGACATACGATAAATAATCAACAAGCAGCAAGGTGGAAGAAAAGCTCTGAACATCTTGTGATAGAACCAGCAGCGATCGTGACCGAGAATTTTGATTTGTAAGGGGCACGGAGGTCTTGGTTTGAGGTTCTTTTCAAGGTCAACGCCCAAATGCCCCCCCCCCCCCCCCCATAGTATCAGCGTTTAAAGAATATACCATTCAGCTGTACAGAAACCTAAGCCTGTCTGAGTACATCTGACCGTTATTTGAGTATATGGCAGCAAAATAGTTCAGCTTTTGGTTAACTTTCTAGGCGAGCCAAAGATTAGCGTATTATTTCCCAGATAGGCCCATGTAGTTTGTAGGCATAAGACGTGACCATATGCGCTTGGTTTGTTTGTTGTTATTGTAAAGAAATGGAATAATTGTATAAACGGGGAACATGGTAACATTTAAGGGGGTGAAACTGTTTCAAACATTGGCTTCCTCGACGTTTACGATGTGTGCATGTGTGTGTGGCCTAATTTATTTGATCTTCATCCTCTCCCCCCCCCCCTCCCTCCGGACAATAGGCCTATATTATTATACTATATTCTCTTGCTCCCCTGTCGTCATCCGCCAGCAGTGAATCGAGGTCATTCACCACGTGAACCTCTATATTTAGATATTATACGTGAAAGTCGTTCGGTTGTCTTTTCAATAACGATTTTGACAAATATCAAAATGTTTTAAGCAATATTTAGTCCATCCGCATATTATTTACGTGGTAAGATTGTCTGTGATAACAAACACATCATTACTTATTCGGTCACTTATTTCAACCGGCAGGATGTTAATTATAATAATTCCCTCTTCCACTTCCAGAAGGGGCGTGTACCTCACCTCATTATAATATTCACCGTAAACATTGGTCTCGCCCTGAGGGAGATGTCACGAGACTCAAAACATGGCGTTTGTTGACAACATGATTATGGCTGCTTACTGGCTGATGACGTTACACTGACACCCATGAAGCTTTCACTCAATTAATTTTTATAGCAGATAACATTTACTTCTTCAAGCTCCTTGGGTCCCTAACCGTAGGTATCTAACTTGCGAGGCTTCCCATGAAGCTCACAATCCTTATTAATTACCAGTTGAATTTTAGTATGCACAGTTGATTACAAACAGGGGGCTGACTTCACAGTGTGTACAGAACAGTGGTTGCCTCTGGTCACAGTTGGCACACACCTGGTCTTGTCTTGCTGACTGATGTTACTTTTCCTTAGGCCTAGAATCTAGATCTAGACCTGCTTTTTTTGGTAGTTCCTAGGCCCTACCCCCCTTATTTGAGCCGAAATCTACATCTATATCTAGATCGGGAGGACTTCCGTTACGAGCGACCACTATGAGATAGAGTATAGAGAAGAATTGAGGGCTTGGGGTAGGGTTAGGTCTAGGCCTCTCCTTTATTGTGTTTGATGGGGTGGTCGCTCGTTACGGAAGTCCTTCCTCTAGATCCATACGTTTGATACGCGGCGAGCTAAAAGACACATAAAGATATCGAACATAACAACTGCAAAACATCAAATTCAAATTTTATTATGGTAAAATCAGGGGGGCATGACCCCCCACCTTATTTTTATTAGGTCAGGAGCCTGAAACCCCCCTACTCTTGGGGCCAAAACCCATGAATAACAATTGCGGGGTGGGGGAAGATTGAAGAATACCGGACCACTAGTACATTATTGCACGAGAAAGTGGGGCGGGTGGTTGGGGTGGAGGAGGGGGGGTTCAGGGGGGTCTCCCCCGTGACAAAATTTTAATGAACAAATCTACCGGTCCGAGATTTTCCATTGAGAGATATTAAAAACGGGAAAATTATGAATTCCTAAGGTTGAGACATAGGCAAAGTCAGTCCGCTGGTCCGGTATTCTTCAATCTTACCCGGGGTGGGAACTACCGAAAAAGCGCCGATCTAGAATTCTAGATCTAGATCTACTTTAGTTATAGTTACAACTTTGGCTTAGCAGCTTTTCTAAAAATTTCTGTCGCGTCTTGTGGAAGCAGTCAAATTTTGTGCTTTTGTTAAAGGAAGAGGCTAGCCGAACTTAAGTACGGCTAGACTCGCAGTCTAGCCGTACTTATTCTTCATATGATGGCTAGACTGACCATTTACAAAAAATAGGCCTACTGAATTGTAAATAAACATTTTTAGTGTGCAGTACCTTAAAGTATTTGTATTTGAGATGAAACCAGGTGCCTTAATGACAGTGCATGTATTTTAAACCTCCTGTTTTCTAATGTTAATAGGGCCTAAGATAAGTACGGCTAGACTGGCAGTTAAATACGGCTAGACTTCTTGTCTAGCCGTACTTAAGTACGGGTAGACAGCCAGGCTAGCCGTATTTAAGGACGGCCAGACTGTCAGGCTAGCCGTACTTAATATTGATGGCTGAATTGTAAATGAAATTTTTAGTTTGCAATGCTTAAAGTATTTGTATTTCAGACAAAACCAAAAGGTGCCTTACTGACTTGCATGTATTTGAACCTGAATAATTACTAGATCTAGATCTAATGAGACCTGTGTACTTAACAGGCTTGAGTCGATAGGGCCAAACCTAGATCTGCTGGCAGTCAGTACGGCTAGCCACTTCGTTTGTTAAATTGTTGATGATGACATGTAGAAGATGCATGCGTAGATTTCTCTATTCTAGAATCTAGAATTTTTTAGATCTAAATATCTAGTCTTGATCTAGATATCTAGATATAAATCTAGGCCTAGTCTAAGTCAGATGAAGTCTTGATCACTTGAAGCTGCAGCGAGCACCTAGCACACCTCTATGATTGGCCCAAATATAGATGACGTATTTCCGTTTTCAATGAACGGGGTCATAGCTGCAGTACTTCGTGATTACCAAGTCCCATCTTTTGCTATTATTCGTTCGGTTTTTCCCGGTCCGAGAGTACTATGGCGACAGGCGGAGGTGTATGTGACACCGAGGCTCGATCAGGAAAATCTAGATCCACTTTCGCTTTCATCACCACCCAGGAATTTGCCGGCGATAGTCTGAGACTATAGTCTGATAACGCAACCACTGATTGAACATGAACACTCAGGACAGCCTGGTGGAAATTTGTTGCACCACATGACTGCTTTGAACCGGTTTTTGAGGCCAATTTGTCATAAAAATGGCTGACAAGGATCGCTGTGGACAGGATATTAATGCAGGAATGGACGTACAAAATGGGAGTTTATAGAGGCTGATAGAGCAGGTTTGATTGTATTTATTCCTAAACATTCCCTTTAGACAGCTTCAGACAGAGAAATAAAAATGTCCAAATGTTTTTTTAGTTTTAGTAGAGGTTTTACGGCGCTCGCAACTGCATAAGGTCATATAAGCGCCAGAAGATTAGAGGTGCTTCAAGAGAGTAACAAAAATAAAAAAGAAGGACGATAGATGTTTGATAGGAAAGAAGGAACAAACCACTCCAGAGCACCCGCCAACCACCCACTTGTCCAAATGTGCTAGGTATGAAGATTGAGGGCGGATGAAAAGTGGCATGACGTGGTGGAATCGGACGCTTTTCAATTTTTGAGCAAACAGGGTTATTGGTATCATCTTTTAGCCTGTCCAATTGCCTTGCTTTTGGTGAGAAAAATACCCATCTATGTTGAATAGAAGTCAAGATATTTGCGACTGAAAGAGTGGAGGGTCGCCTAGTTTCAGAGGTAAAGTTAATGAGAAAATGGCCGCCAAAGTTTGATTTTTCCATAGCTAGAGAGTCATTAGAAACCGAAAATTTACACTTTTTGTGTCTTTAATCAAATGTTTTTCAGTAAAATCCACTCAGAAATGTGTTTTTAGATAGACATAAAAGATGTTGATCCAAAAAAAGAAAATTAGACAAAAAATTGTTCAACGGCCAGAAAAATGCCGGTTTCTTCAATTTCACCATTTTGACGAGCACCCGATTTCACTAAGATGCATCACAAATTGGTTTTAAGCTGGAAGCAAAGGTATCTGAAGAAGATAGATAGTCAGTGGGTGGACTGAACATTTGACAGGCTTCCCTAGCATGCAAAATTTTTGTTGTTGTGAATGTTAATTTCTATCTTTTATGATTTTCAAGGACTCAATTGTACCCTCATTCATACTCATCTCTTACCTTTGTTCTCCTGCCGCGTACTTGCATCACTCACACTGCTGCAACCACCAACATCAGAACATTGCTGAAGTATCTGTTTGTCTTAGAGAATCCTTGCATTGCTTCAACAGGCAGCTCTGGACAGTCTTGGTTTCATGAACTAATCATTTCTGTACTTTTGGGTTTGTTTTGTTTTTGTATTTTTGCAGATGGCATTCACAATTGTGGAAAATCTCCGAGGCTTCTTCAATAGTCGTCCTCCTCTGGTGGTCTTTATGTTATGCTTAGCATCGTTTGCCATTGCTCTCATCACCTTTGCCTATATTGTCAAAGCAAAAGATATACCTGATCCAGATGTTTCTGTGGTAAGAAAAATGTTTTGGTGCTTTCTGAAACAAATGTGTTTGTTTTTAATCATTTTTTTAAAATGTGAACATTCCTGCAGAGTATGTCTTTTTGTGTTACTCATTAACTGAATCTTGGAATACCAGAGGTTGTTAAAGTTTTCACCAGTTTTTTTTCTTTAATTGCAAAATATGAAGTAGATGGTTTCCCATACCATTCTTCAGTGACTTAACATACTCTGCAAATAGTGAATGGGTACTCTTTTGTAAGGTCATGCCAGAGGTTGATGTTGTGCCAGTTGATTATTATTTGAAATGTTGATGTCGGTCAAAAATTCACACTGTAATTTTTCTGTGACTTTGCTTTCTTCAGGACTGGAACACATTTCTCGAGAAGTTTTCTCACCTGCAGTTCTGTCTGCCACAGAATAGTTCATTCTCACAGAACAGCAGCGCAGTGCCCAAACTAGGACTGGGGGAAAAGAATACTGCTGAGGTTTTTCAGAGCATTCATGAGAAGCTGGGTCAAAGCCTCATTGGGGGCTCCAACTCTGAGTCAGATGACTCGGGGAATGAAGACCCTGAAGTGACTCCTAGCTCAGAGACATTTAATGGAATCAGCAAGAGGGCAGCATCCACTGGGTTGTCATTGTCAGCCGACAACAGAGTGGAAGCTCATGCTCCGAGTGCCTCTGCCTCCTCTTCGAGGAAACATCTAGAGTAAGCGAGAAAAAAGAACTTTGTAGTTTTGTTTTTGCTCATTTGTTTGTTGTTATTCCAGCCGCCCACTGGCATCTGTGGTGTAGTGGTTAGGCGCTTCGCCATCACATGCAGGAGACCTGTATGCTTCCATGGAAGCTGAAAATGTTTCTGAGTGTTCTTAGAGGGTCTGCTGGGGTAATAATAGTTGTAAAGCGCATAGAGCAAGCCCTTGAGCATGGATATGCGCTATATAAATGCAATTATTATTATTATTACCTGAGTTCGATTCCCAAGGTGGGAGAATTTTTTTCAAGTATCTTGGTCTTTCTGCTAGAATGCTGTATCCCTCTCAAGGTCAAAGCCAGCCTCTTATATGATCTAAATTGTGTCGATGTGGGACATAAAAACATCCACGTTTAAAAAAATGTCCAGCTGCCCCTGGGGTTTTGTGTTCTGCCAATGCAATGAAGAAGTGGGCAGGAGTCTATTAAAATTAAATGTTATATGCTTTGTTACCACAGGGTTGGAATGGCCACATGGTTTCAGACTAGAGTAGTTTGGAAGTATTTGAAGTGAAAATGTAAGCATTGGAGTGTGGTCCAAAGCACATTTTGTCTTTTTTGCTGTTGAAGCACTTTTGTCTTTTTGTCCATTTTATTTATTTTATTTTATCCCCCCCTGCATTTATTTATTTTTCGGGGGGGGGTGTCATTTTGTCTTTTACCCTTAATTTTTATGGTTGTTGTTGTTTACATAATTGCTCATATTGGTAAGAAATACACATGTTTCTTGCTTAAAGTTTATAGCGATGCATTTGTGTAAAACTTACATAATATTTTTCTAATGTTTTTTACAATTTGTTGTCTATTTATTGGACCTATCTTGATCTCCTTGTGATATCTTTAGGTGTCTTAAACTGTCAACAAGTATGTTATTGTCTTAACATTTTTAACAGTCTTTCTGAAAGTTTCATTACATGTTCTCAAGTATGTTGATAGGATTTTTTATATGCCAATTTTCTTTATTGTGGATTTGTTCCATCAATACTTTTGTCGTTTCCTGTCTTTTTTTTCTCAGAAATGCTACTGTGAGCCTAGACTTCGTATTCATTCCCACAAAAGATGCAAAAGCAGCGCCACATCTGGGCTTTGGCCAGTTTATGGCAATGGTGACAGCTCACATGCTCAAGCTGGATGGTAAAAAGGGGGTTTGGGGCATGTAATGGTTCTGTATTCTAAGTGACGAAACTTGTCCTTTTTTTTTCAGCAATGTGTCAAAATTGCTTTAGTCAAACACTTTCTGTAGGGAGTGAAAATTGTTTGAGTTACGTAATATTTTTGTACGATTTTTAGTAGATTTAATGGATGTCTAAGGATAGTGGGGATCAAGTGGTACGATCGAGTCACAAATGCTCAACTGTGGGGAAAGAACAAACCAAAGGCTAGTAAAGGAAGACATACAGGTGAAGAAATGGAAATCGAATGGGCACACCCTGAGGAGACCCCGGACAAGCATCATCAGACAGGCTTTGACATGGAATCCACAAGAAAAACGTAAGAAAAAAAGACCAAAGATGACATGGAAGCGAGCGGTACAAGCGGAACTGGAAAAGGCGGGGACATCATGGAAACAACTAGAAAAAGATGCACAGGGCAGAGAAATGCTGTTGATGACCTATGCTCCTCTGAGAGTTAAAAGGGCAAGAGAGAGAGCACAAAGTCCTTAAATTATATATTCCGTTTCAGGTAACTGGCCTGTGCTTGTTGATCCTCGGGGGGTCGGGGCGGTTTGCTAGCCAGATTGAGGGCGCATAGCGACTATCGTGGCATAAGCCGATTGCGCCCGGCGCGTCACCTCAAAAACAAACCCCCGATTCGCAATGGGCACCCCATAACGAAGTGGAGATGGATACATTTTTTAAAAAATAAACAAGACTTCAACCAAGTCGTCCGCAAGTGAACGTCAACGACAATTTATCAACACATCACAACACACGTTTGTGGTCTACTTTCATAATCACAACTATAGCCTATAGCACTATAAGATGCATTGTCTGTTTTGTGAGAGGTTTGTTGTTGTTTTTTTTATCTGCATGTCTATCAGCACATCCCCACTACAATGCTACAATTGTTGCGTTTTTTTCCGTTTGTCATCGTATCTGTCAACACCTCAACCCGTCCTTAGTATTATAATACTTTGCCTTTGATTTGGTGTGTTGGTCTGGTCCAGATGTCTTTTTTTCTTTCTTTTTCTTTTGGACATTTTTCTTTCCTCTATACAGCTGAAAGTTAGAGATATTTTTTAGTTGGTTTTTTTTTACTGATGTGCATTGTTTTCTTTTAAAAAAAACACCAAAAATTACTAATACTGATGTCTAATACATGTAGATATATGTTCTGTTTTCAATTCTTCTGTACATAAGACATGAACATTCTTAGTGAAAAAGTGCTAAACATGTCATGAATGGCGTTATGGTAACTTGCATAATTTTGGCATAATTTTGCATTTGTCTCGCATAATTTGGCCATCTAAATTTGCATAATTTTGAGGGAGGGTCTCTTTATGTTTCTGATTTTAAGGAGAACAGCTCTCAGAGGAGTTCATTCTCTCTTAGTTTCGACTTTTTTCTGCTTCAGTAAGCCTTGTGTTTACAGGGTGTCCAGCAAAGTCAGAAAGTCGGAAATTGGTCAGATTTTTATATGCTAGTCGGATTTTGGTCGGAGAAGAGCAATCGCGGTCGGAAATCACGAGAAGTATAACAATGTACCCGTAAAATGCGAAATAACAACGAATGAAAAAATGTATGTAGGAAAGTAAGTATGTTCCGTCAAAGATAGTAAATAACAAGATGGGCCACTCAGCCAAAAAAAGTGTCTGCAGGAAGTTCGCTCTTTGCTTCAGATGGCGCTGCAATCTGTTTTGAAGCTCTCTTTCGTTTTTCCAGAAGAAGAATAGGAATAGCACCTCCTTGCGTGCGCAGATCGACTGCTGTTCATCAGCAGTTTGGGTCCGTTCAGTGCGGAGTTTTAGGTTTTTTTTATTTTAATGACCTCTCGCCTTTTATTCTAAAGTCAAATTAAAAGAAGAAAACAATCACCCTTTCCTCCGGAAGAGGTTTTTTGTCAACGTAACCATTTTTAAAAATGCATTCTTCCGAAATTTATTCAAAAACTTCCTAGTTTCACTTTGATTTTTTAAACTCAAGTAGGGTAACTCTGTTCGCAAAGGGTGCGCATTTGTGAAGAGGGCGCCACCGAATTTTGAGGACACTTTTTTAATTGGCTCAAAGTAGAGAGAAGTGGCCCCTCTTGTTATGTAGACTCTTTGGTTCCGTTCGACACTGGGTTAGATCGTTTACGATATTAAAAGGGTCGATTACTTATTAATTGCTATGAAACTGTTGTAAGAATCGACACTGCATTTCAGTAAAATTATTTTGCCCGTCTACCGATACTTAGTCTGCGCGGTACTAGCCTAAGTCCGCCATTGTCTCTGTGAGTGGGAAGAAAGTCTCAGCTGACTCTCAGCTGCCACACGTGTTTTGTGATAAAAGAGTCATATTACTGGATCTAGATCTAGATCCAGACCTGCCACTCATCCCGATTTAATCGGGATATCCCGATTTTTTGCCCCAAATCTCAACCATCCCGATTTTCCCGATTTCGATCGCCGGTATCCTGATTTTTTGTCGTTGCGTCCGATTCTTAGAAAAAAATATAAAAAGTTCTGCAATCTCTTTTGCTTGGAAACACCGATTGGACTTTTTATCTGTCATTCGCATCACATGACATGACCTCGTACATGTGGTGAGTAGCGCGTGTGTCGGGGGCCGTCGGTTGTCGGGGTCAACAAAGTTCATTCACACCGGTCGTGTTGGTCGAGGTGTTTTTCGGGACTTAACCAGTGTGGACGGCGGGGGAGGGGGTGGGGGTATTGTTTTGACACTTGGGCTTAAAGTGCGTGCCGTAATACAGGTACTAATTAAGGGGAAAGGAATTTTTTTTTTTAAATGAACAGCCTTGGCGCGATCTTTTTTTCGATGTGAGGGAAGTCAAATGTTTTTAAAACGCGGGCGTTTTGCGTGGATGATTAGAGTTACGTGTCAGCTATTTTCAAGACTACGAGTGTTTCAGCAGCTCAACCGACAGCTCTATCCTCCCACTGCAGTTCTGTGGTCACAGATGGCGTGAAAATTGACCAGCAGCTGAAAGAGCCATCACCATTTTGCCAAATGTTCAAAAGTACATTTCATGTATGAAAAAGGGAAATTACAGTGAGCCAACTTGTAAAAGTTACAAGACTGTAGTGGAGCATGCAGACGACAAGTTGTTGTTGGCAAAACTGGAATCTTTTGGGTTTTTTAGCCAAGATTGTCAGACCATTTTTGACAAAATTTCAAGCCAATGAACCTCTGGCTCCTTTCTTGACAACAGAGCTTTTTTCCATTGTCAAGAGACTTTACAGTCTAATTTTGGATCCTTCATTTCTTTTAACCTTGACAAAGCCAGACACTATGCCCAAACCTAAGGACCTGAAAACAGACCAATTAAAAAATCACAAGAGTATTGATGTTGGACACAGGGCAGAAAAAGTATTGGAGAAAGAAAAAGCAAAACTTTCAAGTCTTCAAGTGATGACTTTTAAGATGAAGTTTCAGAAATTTGTTCTGAGCTGTATTGAAAAACTCCTGAAGAAAAGTCCATTGAATTATGCATTGGCCAGGTCAATTACATGTTTGAACCCACAAGTTATGAGTTCTGATGATGCAACAGGGCTTTTCAAGGATATAAAAGAAATGAAAAAACAAGGATGGGTGGATGATGTTGATGAAGCCTGCTACCAGTATGAGACCTTAAGGGACAGATTGGCACCAATTTCTTTCTCTGCCAATGAGAGGTTAGATGAGTTTCTTAATCTTCATGGCAACTTGAATGAACAACCACAGCTGAAAAAAGTTATTGAAAAAATCCTTATTTTGAGTCATGGCAATTCACAGGTTGAGAGAGGCTTCTCAGTGAACAAAGAAGTAACTGTTGAAAATTTACATGAACAATCCCTAATTGCCAGAAGACTGATATGTCAATGGAAAACCTGCCTCTCAAATTCACATTTCCAAAGAAATTATGACTTCCAGTAGCAAAGCCTGGCATAAGTATCAAGAAGCTCTGGAACAGAAAAGAAAGTAAGCAGCTGAAACAGAATTGAGCAAAGAAAGGAAAAGAAAGCATGATGAAGTAAAAGAACTAACACGCAAGAAGAGAATGATGGAGTTGGACATTGACATGTTGATTAGAACTGCTGATGACATGAATGAAAAGGCAGAGGCAGCAAGTAACAAGCAGGCACATGACTTAATTGTGAAAAGCAATACCATGAAAAAAGACGCAAAAGAGAAAAGAAAGGAGTTGATTGACCTCTGTGCTCATTTAGATGAGAAGGAGGCAGAGCTGAAAGCTATGTAAATAAGAACAGAGAACTGTAAATAGTTGTATATAGTTTCTAAAAATGAACTGTGAAGTAATTGACTTTTAACTATAAATGATAATGAACCAGAGCACCATGGAAGTAATGGAAACACAGTGGAAGAATTGATATAATCAGGCTCAAGGGCTGTAGTACATGATGTGCTGTCAATTCTGATGATGTTTTTGGTAAGTCATACCCACATTTCATTTATAGCCTGTTGCGTAACGTTAAATTAGTGTGTTGAATGTTGGTAGGATTTTTGTATCAGGTGGTAGGATTTTTTAAAGTAGGATATTGCTGGACACCCTGGTTTATATTCAACATTAGCTTCTTTTCCCTTTTGCATCAGTTTACTTAGATTCTACTGTACTTGAATGGGCCTTGTTTTACCAGAATTTAATTCATTTCTTTTTAGAAATACCCATTAAAACAAGATAGGGCTTTGCCAAACTGTCCATTTTCTTCACAATGTTGAGTACAGCGCTTGTCTTTTCTGACCTCCAACAGCGTCGTTCAAGGTCAAAGGAGATGAACAGATGTCAGTGTTCCTGAGTTTCCCGCACAACCTGACCCGGAGCATGTGTGAGGAGGAGGAGGGTGGTCGCTGCCGGCAATATCGTGTGCCAGCCTGCATAACATTCCAGAGTCCTGCTCGCCTGCTTCCTCGTACACAGTGAGTGATATCCTAGACTTGAAGTGCTTTTATTAGGAATTTTATAAAAGGCAAAGCAAATCACAATATACCTGGGGAAAATTGTTGGAGATGTCATGTTTACCACTCACATCCTTCCTTCTTACTTAAGCTATTGATACCGGGATATGTTTGCATGCGTCATGTACCCTTTCTTTTCTTCTTTTTTTTTTTTTCTTTTTTTTTTTCCAAACAAAAATAAAAACCAACCTGTGGAGAAATGGTTAGGTGATTTACCGACCCGAGTTTGGGATGAATTTTGTATGAAGTAAATCTGCTTTTCTGCTGGGATGTATTGTATCCCTCTCAGTTTGAGCTGGCCCTGACAGGCTGGGTGGAAGCCTGCCTCCAAGATAACGTAAATCATGTTAATTTGGGCGTAAAAACACATACATTTAAGAAAATATATTTTGGGGGAAAAAATGAAGACCTTTGATGTTTTCTGGCCCCACAAGAAGTAAAATTCTTTAATAATTATAGTTCATAAGACAACACATGCAGCCGCTGGGAAGATTCTTCCTTTAACAATGGTAGATATCACTTTTATAGCACTCACTCACTTGTGGCTCTTGGCGCTTCACACACACAAAAAAATACAATAATAAAATTGACAGCTTTACACAATGACTTGTTTCATGCGCACTGGCCCATTCAATATTCAACAATCCTTTCCAATACATTTGCACCTGTAATCTGATAAAAGAAAGAACTTGTACACAATAAGTACAGTCGCTATGGCTGCTGATACCAGATCCATGTGTGAGCCTTGGGCAACCAGTTGGAAACCCTCGCCTTTCAATGTGAAAAAGTAAACTCCTGTTTTTACTTGCCAACCTGTATGTTTAGAACACTGTATTGATTTTCAGTGGGTTGTTGGTGGAGGCTCGTGTGTGGTTTTCCCTCTCTTTCCTATCAAACACCTGTTGTCCTTATCTCTCTTCCTTCATTTTTGTGTTTGTTACTCTTTTGTAACACATCTAATCTTTGGTACCTATATGACCTTATTGTGTCGTAAGGGCTGTAATACTCTCAACAAAAACAAAAAAAAACCTGATTTGTACGACTCCTCTGACATCAGTCCTCCTTCACAGAAAACCCAGCCGAGAGGCCTGCCCAAGTCATTCAGATCGCATTTTTGACAGAGCCGTCCGCAACGCTCGTGCTGGGACCCTGACGGAGACCACCAGTCGGGACTGGTGTATTCATGGCTCGCGCTTGGTACCTCAGTTTTCTCTGGATGATTCACTCACTGTGCTTTTGTCAATGGTAAGAAGAGTATACTCTGTAAGTCATCAGATCATCTTCTTATGTGTGGGGTTCTGTCCTTGGTCCAGTTTTGTTCACCACTTATACTCAGCTACTGTTAGGTAAGGATAACTCAAACACATCTTGGATTGGCAAACGTTTTTAACATGTCTACAATTTGAGTTAACAGAGAATGAAAAATAAAGAGATATCAGTCGGGGAAAGGCAAATTGTTCTAGCTATCTTTTATTACAAATTTTCTATGTTCATGTTATCTGTGCCCTTCTGTATTTGTCAAGGAAAAATTTAAGTATGGCCTGAAGTATCATTTATAGTTCAACATTGTCTACCAACTTGGATAAACTTGCCTATCATGCTAAAACTTGTATTATCTCCGTGAAAAACTGGATGAACAAAGACAAATTTATCTTGAATGAAGAAAGAACAGGATTCGTTCTGGCAGACAATGCAGACTCTATAAATGGGGTTGTCAACGATCACCTGAAAATTGGTGGTGCAGAAATTACATTTTGGATATCTATTTTGATGCCCATTTGTCAATGTTGGCTGGGGTGAATTATCTGATTAGCCGCATGTATTTAGAAATAATAAGAATTTGTGAAATACCTAATCCAATCAATACTAAGTGTACTGCTTCTTTAGTAAACAGCTCAGTTTTATCAAGACTTGATTGTTGTAACGCTTTGTTATCAAGCATATCTCTGGAGAAAGTGAAAAGACTTCAAACTATTTAAAACAATACTGCACGTTTAGTTTTACAGAGAAGAAAGTGAGACTCTGCTACACCTCTCGTGCAGATGCTGCTTTGACTTTCTGTTGAGAAAAGAATTTGTACAATTTGGTCATTATGTCACAATAATGGAATAATAATGTGCCGTTTTATTTATCAAATCTGTTGAAACTGTATTTTCCTAACTTTTCAACGTGCCAGACATTTTTTCTGCTCTGACCACAGAATACTATTACACCTGTATTAGTATGTGTCGGATGCGACACAGATTTTACCATAAGACACATCTTAACCGAATGTCTAGACTTTGGAGAGATCCGAAGGAAATATTATAAATGCAAGAAATTGCAAGACATTTTTTCCGTCATTGGTCCCAGCAAAATTTTTAATTTTATGAAGGCCATTGGCCTTTATGGCAAATTGTAAAGCGAAACAGTATTGTAAAAAATGTTTACTGTTACTTATAAGAGTTGTTTTAACCCACTCAGTACCATTGGATTTCCAATAGGTAGATGGCTCAGGACCACGCAAAGGGGAATAAATCATCACTTCAATTGCTACCTTTCTGTGGGTTTTCTCCCCCAGCACTGATATTTTCATTAAAATTATCCAAAAGTTCGCCTAAATCAGTCCGAACGCGATGCCGGCGGCTTGCGAAGTACGCTTGATCTTAGCTTGCGCGACCCGTGTGAACTGCAGTTTGTTTACATTGAATTTAGTCCAACTAAAATTTCCAGAGTTATGTCTCTGCTGCTGTCAAGGGGAGAATGATTATCTATTTTCTGATTGGTCGAAATGCGGGTTAATACACGGCCGTAATGGTACTAGGCTTATGAAACGGAAGCGGCCGGCTACGGCCGTTGTGTTACTGAGTGGGTTAAATCGCAAATATATTTACACTGAATTTTAGTATTTTAGCATTTTAAAGTCTAATTGTCGACCAACCATGCAGTGAACTGTTGCCAATGCTACCAACTTGTGTTTCACGCGCTCATATGACCTTACGCAGTTGCGAGCACCGTAAAACCCTGTACTACTACTACATTAGTATGTTCCGTTTTGTTTTTTCTTTTTCCTTCTCGGTGTCTTTCTTTGCCATGTATTTGTTTCTTTGTCCCGGTTTTTATTTGTGTGTGCATGTATATTTTCATGTGCATTTGTGTGTTTCTTTATCTGCTGTGCATCAAAGTAATGGGCTGTCTGCTCCTTTCTGTTCCAGCATGACAAGTCCGTTATAAACCTTCACCTCATGAGGACAAGCTACTTCCTGTTTGTCATGGTGGTAACGATGTTCTGCTATGCCCTCATCAAAGGCAGACCTTCCAAGGTCAAGGCTGTGCACATAGCCTATGACAAAGTGAGTGTTGTAGGTGGTTGGTAGCTACTGTGATTCGTTTGCTTCTTCTTTCATATCTATCAAACATGTATCGTCCTTTGTTTGTTACTTTTTTGCAACACCTCTAGTCTTCGTCACTTATATGACCTATTTGTATTGCAAAAAAAAACTCTTGCTAGGGGGCTCTCGTGGCCTAGAAGTTAAGGTGTTGTCCTCTCATTCAAAGTAGCAATGCCAATCGCCCGCTGCGCCTTGGGCCAGAAATCGGCCTCCGCGCGAGGGGTATTTTTTGGGCCGCTCGGAATCAGAAGTGACTCTCTTCTAAGTATAGTTACGGGAAAACTCCTGGACGAAAATAAATGAAACTCGGCAACCAACCAGAGGAAAGGTTAAACTAACGACATGTCAGCGTACAATCCCGAACGATTACTAGAACCGGAGATATTGCCGTGTTTGTGCGAATTTCCTGTGCGGTTAGAAAACTAAGCGGAGCTGCGGGTTGATCGCCGACCACACAAGCGCCCCACGTGTCTTCTTTATTGCTGTAAAATTTCAGATCTCTGCGTTCAGTAGATTTTCCGTTCCAACTTAAAATTACCACCCATCCATTGATAAAACACTAGATCTAGAAACTTGATCGCGCATTCCAAACGCGAGGTGCCGGCATGCAAGAGGCGCGTGATCGCTAGGCGGCATGTGATTGGCTGCCTATAACCAAATGGGTCACCGATGACTACATCGCGGGTTTTCCCGATAGCGCTTTACTGGGTTTTAGAAGGGGTGATCGCGTCGCGGTAAAAACGATGTAGCGCAATTCAACAAATTTCACGCAAATATCAGTCTTTAAGATCCAAAGTAACGAAGACATCGAAAAAGTAATAGCAGAACTAGATTCTGCACTAAAAATCACATGGAGATGCCAAGTTTCATTCATATGCTCCAATTCATTACTGACTTATGAACAGTTTTTCCTCAAAATACATCAAAACATGTCCCACATTTTGGCGATTTTTTCCTATATGAAGGTCCTCCAACATTTTGCAAACAAAAATCCCAATAACTTTTTTATTTATCAATGGATTTTTAAGATTTAAAAACCATAGTTCTTAGAATTTACTCTATTTTCATTTAAGCCCATTTTTAAGCAATTTGGATGAAAATTTAATTTTTCATTGTCATTGCGATTCAAAGGTCCTGGGTTCGAATCCGGGTAGCGACCGAAAAATTTTCTTCTCTAAAATTGTCTCCTTTCACTTCTTTTCCTGCTCTCTAGCAATGTTCTGTCGTCTGCTTTCGTCTCCTCTTTCTGCCCCCGCCCCCTCACCTCCCTTGCCCCCTCCTGTGGGCTCCTGTCTCTTTCTGCAGCCTTTCTACTGCTACTCCTTGACTCCTTCTTACAGCTGTCTTTCTGCCACACTCCTGAGCCTCTGGTTGGAAAGATCTACAACTAGCCTTCTCGGACAAGGGCGAAAAATCTCGGAGGGCCCGTGTGCAAGTTGCGCACGTTAAAGATCCCCTGGTGGTCTAAAATCGATACGAGTAGGCTTCGGCCGCCACCCGGGCAAAATTCAAAATTTCCTACCAACTAAAAGTATTAGGTGTGTCCCGCGCGCTCATATGACCTTATGCAGTTTCTAGCACCGTAAAACCCTCTACTATAAAAGAAAGAAGAAAAAAAACTCTTGCTAAAAGTAAAACTGAAAAGTGAGTGTTGGATGAGTTGTTTTTTTGTCAAGGCGTTCACGAGATGTACTCCTTGGATCATATATTATATATATATGCTGTGGAAAAAATAGTCTGAGGATTAAAAATTTTTGGAGTGATGTGAGAAAACAAGAGAAAGTGAGCATTAGATATTAGATGCTTCTCTTTCCTTCAAGGCTGAGTAGAATGTGCCAATTGGAAAAAGTGTTGATAAAGTCAGGGCTAACCTACTTTTTGTTTTGCACTTGTAAAATGCGATACGTCGGATTAGAATTAAAATTGCAAGATAAAAACAAGTAGAACTCTTAAAAATACTGAGACTAGATAATAGAAAGAAGAGTATGTAAACTTTGGGATTTGATGGTCTCTGAGTATAAGTAATTGTCATTGTTGTTTTTGTATTACATAGCTTTTACTTTTATGTATTAAAATTACACATCCGTTGATAGTGGACCACAAGTTTTGACTTATAGTGGATAATAAGTTGAAGAAAATTTTTCTTTTAACATTTTTCATGGCAGTTGTGACTTGTATCGTGCCACACATTTCTGAATCGAAATAGTCTGTTTCATTAGTTTATCTTTTGATAGAAAGAAATGACAGGGTTATTAACTCGCATTTCTACTGTCAGTACTTATTTTCAGCATTTTAATGTCTGTGTTAGTGGACTTGCACCCTAGATCTGGCCCACTTATGAAATATTTTTGGACCTGGGATCTTTCACAGTGTCACTTTTCTCTCTTTCTTCATTCCGTATGTTCTCCATGTTACCATTTTTAACTTGCAAATCTAAGTCAGAAAGTGAAATCGCTGCCTTGTAAATTCATTTTGGTCACATTTTGCAAGAGCAGTGCATTCGTCTGCAAGAGAGAATAAGAGCCTGATGATCAGAGGAGCATACTTGTGACATATTACTTGCTACCTGAAAGGGTAAATCTTGCCCACTTCCGTGACATCTGTAGTATGGCACAAAGCTAAAATTTATGCATTTTTGTGAAGTACCGTGTACGTTGTAAGGCAACAAAGGGGTTAAAAAAATGTCACCCAGAAACTTGGATAGGGACTCTGTTTTATCCTCTAGAAGCTCAACGAGTGCTCTGTGTTACAGCCATTGTAACAGTTAAAATCTGTTAAAAAATGACTGGTTATTGATCAGGGTTTTTGCAGAAGGATGTGGGAGGGGGCACATGATATCGTGATATGTGGTTTTGTTTTTATAAGTATTATGGAGTACTCTGTTGCTGCATGAATTATTTATACATTAAGAATGGATCTTTAAAAAAGTAACATCTGAAAGTAACGCCAAAAAAGTAGTTATGTCTTCAACATAATTCAATGTGTTCATTTATGCTTTCTTCACTTCTGGATTACAGTTTTCTCTTTATGTATTCCCCCCAGATCTCTTCACAAGCCTGAGCAAATGCTTCAGCTTCTCAGAAAGGAAGAGAAAAAAGAGGTGCTCAGTCTCTTCTGCTCAACACCTGCTCTGTCTAATGAAGAGAGATTTCAGCTGATCTCTCTCATGTTATAAACTCAGAACTGTGGTGCTGTCAATTCGCGTCCTTAGAATGGCAAGTTTTTGACTCCATGATGCATAGTGTTGAGCAAATGGGATTCAGAGTCAGATCTTCTTTGGCTAATATGTTTTTACACCTTATTTGTTAAGTGTCAAATTGAGAAAAAAAAATACTGGTCAGATTGTCTGAGCCTTTGACACAGAGTTCAGAGCATCAGTGTCAGTCTTGTGTAGTGTGTTACTCATCACAAAAAGTGGAGTTAGAACCCTTTCATTCTAAGAGTATGAGTTGGGTTCAGTAAATGATTACACCTGAATGGTTAAAGGTGAACAATGCACTTTGTTGTTTGATGAAGGGCTAAGCAATGAAAATCCCCATTTGACAACAAAAGATAGACTGTAACTTCTACAGTATTGGGAAAGGGGAAATAATCTGTGCCCATTTTTCAGTCTTTGTATGTTCTTCTTCATGCAGCAAAGTTAACTGTTCCTTATTCACTACAGGGTTGTTTTTGTGTACTGCCCTTTACATGATGGAAGCTACTACTAAGTGTTCTGAGCTGAAGCGCTGCATCTTTTTATTTTGTGAGATTTGTTGTTGGGGTTTTTAGATATGAAAAAATCTTTTGTTTGATGTTTGATTGTAGTTGGAGAGCAATACGTCTTACGTAAAGAGTTTAAGGTTTTCTCAAATTTTGTGTAGTCCTGTCATGTTATCATCTTTTAGCCGGAGTGTTTCAAGTGGTCAACTGACAAAATAAGTAAAGTTAGGTGTTCACCTCTCCTAAAGAAACATTTCTAAATGTTTGAGCTGCCATTTAAAATTGGCATTTATCATGAAGACATCGGGTACTCAAAAGTTCAGTAAAGACAAGTTTGTATGTAAACATTTCATTTTGTATTACGTGAACCTTGTCAGAGAGGATTGAAGGTACACTTTTTTTTTTAAAATCTCATAGCAGCACTATTTATTGTGGTTTATGTGATCTGTCATGCAGTTTGACTCAAACAAGTTTCTTTTTAACTTCAGACCTTCTCTTGCACTTTGATCACCTGGGATGTGGTGACCCACGGGTGTAGGGCATGGATATACAGGCAGCCACATATCTTGAACTTCAGTACAGTTGAACTTATCCTATACTAATGTTGCCTATTGTTAAGGAGAAAAGTGGTCATCTGGAATAGGTGGTCCTCTTACTCTTAGTCAGTGTCGTTATAATACGGAAAAAAACACAAGGGGAGGAAATGGAAAGAGGTAATTTGTACAGGTGATTTTTTTGGGCAGGTGGTCGTTAGAGCAGGTTAGGTTGTACTGTTCCTTGTTGTATTAAGGATGGAGGCCAACCTTTGCGGTGTAGGATTAACATGCAAAAATTCTGTGTGTGAGTTCGAGTGCTGTTGAGAGTCTACCTGTCTATGTTGAAAATGTGTTTGCTGACTTTGTTCTCTGTTAGGGGCCAAGTGTTCCTATGACTTGTCATATGTCTAGTAAACTTCAAGTAGCTCTTTCAGTAGCTTTGAGGGATTTTCTTTTTAGATAGTTTTATTGTCTTACATTGATTTTTTTAAAAATGATGTCTTATCCGATTTCTTTGGGAGTGGCCTTTAATTTGTTGCAAGCCTTTGGCCATCATACTATGTCTTTTCTTGCATCAAGAGAAAACTGGGATGGGTTGAGTTGAAAAGGTTAAAAAACATTTTTGTGATTCTTCGTAAAGACTGTAAGATGTGATTTTCACTTACTTTTCTTTATTCTTGTATATAACCTTGGTTGTTGAGCTGATGGATTCTATGATTCGAGGAGACTGTAAAACAGTGTTCTTCGCTGCATGGGTTTGGTTTTCACTCATGTTGATGGCTTGTACGAAGTCAGTATAAAGTCATCGGTATGTGCCCTATAATTTTTTTGAGTGAATCTCAACTCATGAAATCATGTTTCCCTTGGGGGGGAGAAAGAGCTGTTTTACTGAACTCAGTGGGATATTTTTTTTTTCATATATAGATGCCAAAGAAGGCAGTATTAATATAAGGAGACACATGTACGGCAGAGAGAGAGAGAGATGAAGGGTGGTTGAGAGAAAGAGAGAGAAAGATAATGTTTTATTTAGTACTGTTGTGTGGTGAGTCATTCCAAATATGTCCTGTTCACGGTTTTAGTTAACATATTTGAATCCGCCAGTGTCTGTGTTTGAGAGATTTTCATATTTTTCTTTATTTAACAGTGGTCAGAAATCACAGGAGGCATTTTATGTGATCGAGAATCTTGCATCAGTTTTGAAAATGAGTTTGTGTACGAAGTACATTGAAGAGAAAGTTGTACATAAGTTTTGAAACCAATTGCCCAGAATACTTTTTGTGTCATATTGGGTCTGTAGATGAGTATTACTGTTCATAAGTGCTCAAATTCTTGTCCCATTTGAAAGTACTTTGTTATACATGTATCATAATTACTGAATACACCAGGACTTACACACGATCAATGGAAGTAAAATGTTCCGGATATAGCATGCAAATTTTATCACAACAGAGAGACCTGATTGAGAAGTAAGGATCGTAATCCATAAAACAAAGTCATGTGCGCCAAAAGCTGTATGAACGAAGATGAGATTTTTCCAAACAGAACTTCTTTATAACCACCAGGTTGTCTCATCTCCCAGCAGTGCTTCGTTAGAATAGAGTGCTGACTCTGAAGTTTGCCTTTAAATACATTTGTCCAACTTGTCGTAAATCTAGTCCATATTTTCTGATGGTTCGCTAATTGGCAGTGACCAATTTTACAAATGTTTAAGATTCAAATGCATGTTACAATTAATATCCTTACAATCTTGTGATGGCTGGCAACTCATGAGCACAGTAAAGTTTTCATATTTGATATCTCCACTGTTAGTTTTACTTTGACACGTCACAGTGCAACAAGGGATGTTGTATCATATGTGATCAGTATGACCTAAATACATTGCAGTCCATTGCGTGAAAGAGAAGAAATTGTGAAAGCACAATCTACAGGTCTAGCCGTACTTTCACTTTTTGTTATGGATGGGACGTGAGCTTCTCAAGAGGATTTATGAAATGAGAAGGTATCTGTTGACCGAAAAAACTTCGGTTTAAATGAGTTTTCTATGGCTTTTGATATATGAACTGCTTAATTTAAGTGTAAGTCCCCAGCATACATCATTTTGAAAAGTGACATTTGACGGAGTCTGGCGAAATCTTGCACTGAGCAGTCAATACAATGTCACAGCTGGACAGGTGGCGTTGACTTGTGTGCCGTGCTCATTTCTTACCTAGTGGGTACAAACCCCGCACATCGATTATTGCAAGCCCATATATTGATGCATCACTTGATTTTTCCTTGCCAATAGCTGTTATATATATATATTATATTTATATCATGTGTTTGGGTGTATGTGTTATGTGTGTGTGTATATATGTGTATGTATATATATTATAGTTGTAAAAGTTCGTCGCTTTGGTTGCCTAAAACTTCTGAACCACTTAACTTTCAAATTTTAAAAAATTAACAGTGATTCAGAATCATTTAAAGGGTGTTAATTTATATTAAAGAGTCTGAAGTCAGTGTAGTTAAATTTTCATTTATTCATTAGTTTCAATTAGATCTAATCTTGGGAAAGTCCGTCTTCTAAGACATCATTACAAACAAGTGAGGCTTCCGTTCACAAGCAATGTGCACTGGTTCCACAATGACTTGATGATCGATTCTTTTGAGTTCGTTCATCGAAAGTGTACCCAGCTAGTATATACTGTAGTCTCCGCCTAAGATCCCGGTGCTCGGGAGCAAGGAAATGCGGGATCTTAGGCGAACCGGGATCTTTACCGACGAACCCAAGGAAGAATCTATGGTCACCCATGCTAAGGCTCACAATAGATACAATGGTCTCCCTCCACTCTAAAATGAACTGACATGACCGCTTGGTGGGTTTATGACGTATGGCGAGCAAAGAGTGGTTAACTTTGGTGAACTATCACAGTTCATAGTGGGATGAGGCGTGCCATTTTCACTTTTTATCCTAACATGAGTCTCAAGATCTACGCGTATCCAGTTGCCCCTCCCCCCTTACCTGTAGAAAATTTATAGCTTTCCATCTCTGACCGAGTTCCCCCCCCCCCCCCCAACCGCCTTTGTTGTTACACACCATTACGTTGTGTACACACCAATTAAAATTCAGTCTGTCTCGCAAATTCGGGAGTAGAGACAACTTCTGCAATGATCAGGGAGAAGTTCACTGTTGAATTTGATCCCGCCTGGAGCGAATGTGTAGGCCCTGCCCACCCAGCGAGTGATGTAAGTTTAGGTGGAGAGCTCAGGTGTGAGTGCGATGCGTGGGGAAAACAAACGTGTCGGTCAGTTCACACCCCGATGTGATCCGGTCTGGGGCAAACATTGTATCGCTTCATCGAGTTTTACAGCGTGTTTATGATCACTTTCACGATAGTGGCGGATCTTTGACACGAGGGACAGTTTATTGATCTCAACTTTTCACTCTTGGTTGATTGGCTGTCCCGCCCGCGTTTTTGTTCCGCAAATCATGATCTGAAATGCGGGATCTTAGCCAAATGTAGCTTCAGAGCAGGATCTTAGGGGTGAGTTTTGTATAGTAAAAATTATTCTGTTTTCTTAAAACAGCGGGATCTTAAGCGAACCTGGATCGTAAGCTGTGGGATCTTAGGTGGAGACTACTGTATATATATATATATATATATAATATACACGCACACACACACACAGTCGTATATATCGCGACCTCAGTGCTTTATTGTCGTATCTACATTTTTAATAACAGTGAAAACAGTTCATAACATTGAGTGAGCTTAAGAAGAAGTCACATTTTCACTGTTAATTTAAAAAATGGAGATACGACAAGAAAGCACTGTGGTCGCGATATGTGTGTCCCTTTTTTAATTTCAATATTGCATTGCTATTGCCATTGTTATCATAGCTGTGTAACGATTTTTGCCTGCATGTCTATTGTGTCATTCATCATAGTGTCAATGTCAGTGACATGACAACCATTATTTTTCATGTTCTTGCTCCATGATGGCTTTGTTCTTATCGTTGCTCATGCATTTTTTGCTAATACACACATGTATATTATTTTGTCTTTATCCCAGAGGGTATGAAAAAAAAAATAAAGGAATTAAAAAGAAAATGTAATGAGATTAAACTTTTTTTTCTGGAATGGGGGAGTGGATGGAAGGTGTCAGTGGTTGGTCTTAAAATGTTCTTTGTCATTTTTTGCTGTCTTTCTTATTTGTTTTTACTTTTCCTCGTACAACACACACACACACACACACTCACACACACACACACTTGCAACCATGTACGCGCGCGCGCACACACACGCACACACACTCACACACATACACACACACTCTTGCAACCATGTACGCGCGCGCGCACACACACACACACACACACACACACACACACATGTGTGCACACATACTCTTACACTTATATCAATACCCCCATATAATGCAGTTCTGTGTTAATGTGAGTCTCTTCAGCTTTGGACATACAAAGACATCATGTATCGTTGCTGTCACACATGAATTGAGAAAATTAAAATTGTAAGTAGGTGATTGGCAGGTGCTCTGACACTATGCTCTTTCTTTCCTATCAAATATCTGACGGTATTATCTGTCCTCCTTTTTTTTGTGTTTGTTACTCTCTTTTAACACCTTTAATCTTTGACGCTTATTCGACCTAGTTGTATTGCATATGCTGTAAAAAGCTTATTAAAACTAAAAACGAAATCATTGTAAATGTTTTGTGCTATGATCCACACAGTTAAGTTCATTTAACACTATCTCTACCACGAGCCGCATTTTGCGACTCGCGGACCTGGCCTCGCTGGACCGAGAGCCGCAAAATATGGATCAAGTGGCTTGCTATCTATTCCAATCCAGTAATGAAAAGACCCGAACTACTCGGCTGATCCATGTTTTCACAATAATAGACTTCCTGTTAGCAGATACGAAAGAAAATATAGCGCTGAGAGACGATTTTTAGTCATTTCAGCGCTTTTTTGGTCCCCTTCGAAACGTAAATATGAGGAAAATATTCTATATTAGGTACACGTACATAACTTTCAGCATTTCTTCGCATTACTTGTGGCAACATACTTGGGGAGTTTTAATGATGTTGTTGTTATACTTTTCTAGATATGACCTTTCAAGGTAAAAGCTGCAAAATTGTTAATTTCATATGACACCTTCGATATAGCATGATCACTTTTAGAAACCCAAAAGTAATATAACTGGAATAAATCTTCAATATTGTATCGCCATCTGATAGATTATTTTTTAACCTTTAGTTTGATGGGCCATAAGATATGGTTTGTGTGTGTTTAGTTGGATGTTTTGACATTTTCCTTTGGCGGGGTAGGGGCGTAAAAATGGGTCAGGGAATAGCCCTGGGCCAGTAGTGGATTTTGGCCTGGTAGGAAAAGAGTTAATAGGTGGTCTACTTCGACACTGAGTATTGGGGCCAACCTGGTCTGAAAGGAAAAGATCACCTTTCAAGACAGACATGGGTACTCAATCTTGACCTCTCCACATGGTAATCGAACCCCTTTTCTATGGGGGGAGGGGGGGGGATAATATTACTAAAGCATCGGGGATGGCAGGACTGAATGTTTATGACGTCAAGGAGACCTTTACGGGTGCTTCTATTACTGTTCTGTTTTGAACCATCTTTCTCCATATCAGTCTGACTGGGTGGTTGGCAGGTGCTCTCGTGTGGTCTGCTCTTTCTTTAATACTAAACACCTATACTCCTTATCTTTCCACAACTAGGCTTGGACTTGGATAGAGTTTAGTCAGTGCAGAGGTGCTTGTAATATTGCGTATCCAGGTTGTTTAAATAAAGTTATGTGTTGGTTGTTACAACTCGACATACACCAAAAAAAAAAGATAAAATGAAAATTGAGATTGTAACGTAACGACCGACATAAAAAGTTATTAAAGAAATTAAAATTACAAAGAAATTAGACTGGCTCCAGCTTCTCAGACCACAATTGGCTTGGATAGGATCTTGTCACTACACAAATGCTTGCGAAATTGCACATCCATGTTGTAAAACACAATGATCTGTTTGTTTTTACAACTAGGCACACATAAAAATAAACAGATTATAATTTTAAAAACTGATACTGTATTGTAACGACCGACAAAACAAGCTACAGTACTAGGGGCTCTCGTGGCCTAGAGGGCAAGGTGTTGGCCTCTCATTCAAAGGTCCCGGGTTCGAATCCAGGTAGCGACCGAAAAACTTCTCGAGCACAGCTAGGCTTGGATAGAGTTTAGTCGACAAAGGTGCTTGTAAAATTGCACCCTCCGGTTCTAAAACACAGTTATCTGTTGGTTGTTACAACTAGACATACACAAAAAATCAATAGATTATGACCAAAACTGGGTGTAACGACCGACATAACAATGGTCCCAAAACAGTAAGATTGCTCAGACATTGGGCTGTTTCCAGCTTGTAGGATCACAAATAAGCTTGGGTAGTGTTTATCCACCTCAAAGGTGCTTGTAAGATTGAAAACCGGGGTTGTGAAACACTATACTTGTTCAGTCTATGCATAAACAATTTTTTTTTTTTTTTTTTTTGCTTTTTGTATGGTAAAAGTGTTTTATGATGCTCGCAACTGCATTAGGTCATACGAGCGCGCGGGACACATTAAACATTTTCTCAGTTTGATGGGAATTTTTAATTTGGTCTAGGTTATTGCCGAAGCCTACTTTTATCGATTTTTGGACCACCAAGAGACCTTTAATGGGTGCGACTTGCACACGGGACCACCGAGATTTTTCGCCCTTATCTGATAATGTTAATAATATAGTGTAAAGCGCATAGAGCCTGCTGTTGAGCGGGGATATGCGCTATACAAATGCTATTTATTATTATTATAATGTTAGGTGTTAGGTCTCTCCTGCTATAACTATAAGATCAGGGGTGTGGCTGAAAGTAAGAATTAGGCCTATAAGAGCCAAGGAGAAGCAGTAAAAAGGCAGCAGAAAGAGTCAAGGGCCCAGAGGTGTGGGCAAAAAAGGAAGGACGGGGAGGGGACAGGAAGTGGAGACAAAAGCAGTCGACAAAACATAGAGAGCAGGAAAAGGGGTGAAAGGAGAACATTTTAGAAAAGAAAATTTTCCTTCGTTGTCTGGTTTCGAACCCAGGGTCTATTGGAAGACAGGCGAACACCGTAACCTGTAGACCACGAGAGCCACTGAATAACTATAGTCTAAGTGTAACGACCGGCATAACAATTTATTAGAATGACAAAGAAAACAGGCTCTTTCAACTTCTCAGAGATCAATTAGGCTTGGATAGAGTTTGTACAGTACAAATTATGCTTAATTGTAAAATTGCCCATACAGGGTTACATGTATAAAACAATAATATCTGTTGGTTGTGGCTTCAAGGCATGTAGGCCTACAGAAAAATTAAATAGGCTGTGACCAAAACGAGACTTAACTACCGACATAACTTAACAAGTTTGTAAAAATGTAAGATGACAAAGAAGTAAGGCTGATTTCAGCTTCTCAGATCACAATAATTGAGGGTGGATAGTCTCTATTCACTATATGTTGGCTGCTACTGCTAAAATAATTACACGCACACACACACACACACACACACACACACACACATACACACACACACACACACACACACACACACACACACACACACACACACACACTCATTCACACACACAAACACAAAGATTACAACCAAAAGTTTGAGAAAACGACCGCGACATAAAAATTTAGTAAAGAAATTAGAATGACAAAGAAAACAGGAGCTGTTTCCAGCTACTCAATTCACAACTTGGCGTTTATAAAGTTTACACGGAGTGGGGAGAAGTGGGCCACCGTGGGAGGAGTTTTGAAAAAAACCACACGAAATAACTCAAAAATGAAAAAAACAAACAAACAAAGGACAATATGCTTTACATCAACCTAAATAACATTTATTGTGTTTAAAAACCAGTTTTAGCTGTACAACATAGATAGAATGAAAATGGTTAAAAAGGGTGCTGAAATCAACATTACAAGTGGGGAGAAATGGGCCCCACGGGAGAAGTGGGCCACAGCTGACATCCGTTACCAGGGCTATCGGAACCTAAACAAAAGAAAACCAACAATACATTCCTCACAACGGCACAAATATGGAATTTAACTGAAATTAAGACCACCAAAGTGTCCAAAGTCAACCTAGAAACAGATGTCACCTCTATATGGTTCTTGCAATAGTGCCTCTGAATTCAGAATATGTGGGTGGCGGTAAAATGGCTCTGATTGAGTCAATTATATAGGACTGGTCGAGGAAATATCTTCCACCCCTGGTTTTACAAAGTGTGGGCTCTTTTGGCCCATTCTTCGGGAAAAAATCAACCCCAACATCACTTTTGTCTCTTTCTTTGACTTTTTTGTTGAGATCTCACATACCACACCATGCTCTGCTGATATGTTGTCAGGCCCACCTGCTTAGTACTAAGAGATACGATGACTTTTGGGACTTTATGGACTGTTGTGATTCCTGTTTCGTCAAGATTGAGTATCTCAGCTCCAGAGGCACCCAGGTCACTCTAGAAAGAGTGTGCAGCAAGTTGAAAAATGTTCCCACAGAATGTCTGTTGAAAGCTGTGGCGCTTGCCAATGAGGTAGCCACTGGTTGTCGCAAACTGCGTTGAGGATGTCCCCAAAGAAAACCCATCGACCACTCCTTTCCGGCACATTTTGCATCATCCCACGAAGATGGGTACGAAAGGTCGAGATCTTAGGTGATTTGCAACAGCGACTTCATAAATGAGTTTCTGCAGTAAGCAGTTGTCAAACCATAGGATATTTTGGCACGTTTCAACATTTACTGCGCCAATTTAGTCTCCTGTTGTACTGTGAATACTTGACCGTGACGGTAGTTTGGTCATCTTGAAGAGCTTTCTTCACATTGTTTTGAAGGGTAGTGTGAGCAATGCTGTGAAGGTATGGGACTTCCCTCAAAGGCGCTCCATTTCTGACAGCTACCACTGCATTGTTTATCGTATCAGGTAAGGCTGTGCCTATACCGGAATTCCTTTGATACGTAGCACTGTCCATAGAGGTTGAACAGAAAACATAAGAATAAATCATTTAATGCGTGTCTACGGGACGTTGGTTCATGCCAAAAGACTAGAAAGAAGCGGGTACACAGTATCACGTAGAGCGCCAGAGGGAAAACTCCGGAATGGTAGACTACTACAATAATACTACCCCGAGGTTCGTTTTTAAAGACTAGATCAAGATTTAAGCCTCTATCTTTATCTTATATTCTAACAAAATAGGTTATAATATGCCTAAAATAGCAGGAAAATATGTTGAAGATTATTTTTCTACAACTGCGGAGAAGTGGGCCGATGGTGGCCCACTTCTCCCCATCGGTAGTCTAACTGTTCAATTGATGTATGTTTTCTTCAAATGGCAAAAGTTGCACATTCGGGTTGTAAAACATAAGAAGGTTTACGTAATTTAGGCTGTAGCAGGTGAGTTATTTTAAAAAAATTGTATTTTTTGTTTTCGATTGTTATGGGTGTGATGATTGTAGGGTACAGAAAGACGAAGACGGATCGTGAGTTACCACGGACATGCGTCAACATTGCCACAGTATTGAGAAAGGTGGGTATATAGACATTTAATGATGCCATAAATGATTGACTGATTTTAGGGTGTTTGTGTATGAAGTTATAGACAGGAATTAAAAACTGTTAAAAAGTCTTTAATTTGAGTGTTTTCCCAGGTTTTCACCGGCGAGCATATTATGGACCATAATACCTGATACGCAACCACTGAACACCCTCCCTCAGGAATATCAATATCATCAAAACTTGGATTAATTTCGTTTCGCGGTCTACATTCTACAATTGTAAACAATGATGGCCGACAACGATGGGTTTCATGTGGTCAAGAACAGGGGGAGGAGAAAAAAGATAGCAAACATGAAACATCCCACTTTGCCAAGCCCTTCAGATGATTTTGATTTTACCGCCTTTCAAAAACGACTGAAATCATGCATGTGTGTTGTTCTTGAGCAATTTTTTTATTTAAAGTCTTCGTCTCTATTCTGGAGGAGTTCCGCAGCCGCAGATGGCCGGCACTCGGCACTTACCGTGACAAGGGGGTTGGGTGGGGGGTGCAAAAACAATAAAATGCTAACAGACTGAACCAAACTATTTTTTGTATACCTGCTCAAAATGCTCCCTCTTTAGTGCGTTCTTGGTCGGCCGGCCGGCTCTCTGCAGAACTCCTTCCCTCTTTCGGCTGGATCCAAGCAGATCGGGTCAGCGGGGCCGAAGGCCCCGTCGTGGCTGATGAATGTACGGGGATTTCGGGATTATATTACGGCTATAAATGGAAGGGATGGCTCCCTATATAGAACGCATTGGACAAAAAAGACAAAAACGGGCGTTTTGGGGTTTCTAGACTTAAAAAATTAATTGAGTGACCCCGTGCTAAAGTGTAACTTTAGCTGTTCGGGAAATTGAAATGAGAACTTGAAATGCTCGTTAAAGATTGCAAATAAATATTTACGGATTGTGTAGGAACTACTTTTTGCTCCCCTAAATTTAGCTGACTTGGGAATTCTCTCCGGAACTACTTCTGGTCAAATCTGTTATTCTGTAGGCCACCTCTATTCTCACCCCGGGTGAGAATAGCGCAGGCGAGTCTTTTGACTATTCTCACCCGGTGGGCGTTCACCGTTATTCCTTAGGCCAACCAGTGAAACGTTAACCTTGAACCACAGAATTCTACACTGTGATAACAAAATTGTAGAATTCTGTGCCGTTGCCGTGAACAAACGTTCTAGATCTATTACTACTGTTAATGTTAGCCTAAAAGCGTGCAATTTTGTCTATGGGCAGTGGAGAGAGAGACGAAAGAGGAGTAGCGCGAGAACTTCTGGGCAAAACAAAATGGCGACCCGCGTAGTTCGGCTCGATTCGGAAAGTTAAATAACCGTAGCATCTTTGTAGACGACCAAATTAATTTAGTTTTGTTTTTTAACATAATTTTTTAACTTTGCTTTGGTCAATTTGATCGTCCACACTGATAGACAGTATTCAGAAAGAGACAGAGAGAGAGAGGGGAGGAGCAGATCTTGCGAGAACTTCCGGGCAAAACAAAATGGGGACCCGCGTAGTTCGGCTCGATTCGAAAAGTGAAATAGCCATAGCATCTTTGAAGACGATCAAATTAGCTTACTTTTGTGCTATAACGTAATTTTTTCTTGGCTTTTATCAATCTGATCATCCACACCGATAGACAGTATTCCGAAATGAGGAAAAACAGGTCTTGTTTCACACCGGTTGAGAATAGCCTACGCTGGCAAGTCTCACCCGGGGTGAGAGGTAGATCGTATTTTTATTCTCACCCCGGGTGAGGATAGCCACTTCCTATTCTGTAACTGTAATAGTACTGTTAGTTCAATATTTTATGATTGTGTGAGATAGTAATTATCTGCAGTTTAACTAGCTACAATTAATAAACAAAAGCTGATTACGTTTGTGACTGTGGTGCAAAGTATTGTGAATTTGGAGACAGTGGTTATCCAGAAGGATTTTGTTGGAGGTGTGTTCTAATAGAGTCTGCAGGAACAAGTTTTCTATTTGGCTTGGATCCTGGTTTGAGGATTCCAAGTTGAGTTTTGAGACAATTTTAAAACTGACATATTTTTGGTGTAATCAATATTTCAACAAGTTGTCTGCTAGAGAAGTTGAAGTCAGTGAAAATACAGTTGTTGACTGGTTTAACTTCTGCAGGGAAGTGTGTATTGACGTGTTGCAGGAGTGCAAGTATCAGAGCATAGGAGGAGAGGGTGTATTGGTAGAGATTGACGAGTCTAAATTCGGTCGGAGGAAGTACAATAGGGGTAAACGTGTTGATGGTTTTTTGGGTGTTTGGTGGGATTGAGTCGAGAGACAAAAGTAGGTGGTTTTTTTTGTGTTGTGGAGAACAGGAGTGCAGACACTTTGATTCCCTTGATTCAGAAACACATCAAGCCTGGGAGCATTATTGTTTCTGATGAATGGAAAGGATATTCAACGTTGAAGAACATTGGCTATCAACATTACACTGTGAATCACAGTTGGGAGTTCAAAAAAGCCGAGACAGGCGCCCATATATTGAGACAACTTGGAATCAACTCAAAGCTGTAAAAAAAACATTCAGGGTATGCAAAAACTTTGATAAGCACATAGTTTAGTGAGCTCATTTTCCGGAGGAAATTCTTGAATGAATCTGAGGACCCTTTTTTTGTGTTTATTAAAGAGGGCATCAATCAAGTGTATTCTTTGGCTCGTGCCCGTGACAAGTTGAATTTAAGAAACAGGAGAGAAAGAGAAAGCAGCAGGAAGAACCAGGGAATCTGTGGGAAGACCCAAAGCGGGGTAGAAGCAGCACAGCGACTGCAACGTACACGCGGGCCGAGATAGAGGCTGCTGAGACTGAGAAGCAGGAAGCACCAGGGAATCTGTGGGAAGACCCAAAGCGGGGTAGAAGCAGCACAGCGACTGCAACGTACACGTGGGCCGAGATAGAGGCTTTTGAGACTGTTGTGTCATTGGAATCTGAATCTGAAGCATCCTGTTCACTTTCTGTGGTTTTGTCAATGGATGAATTGGATGAGGATGCTCCGGCTTTTGATTTGGGTGTAAATATTGATGATGATAGCAGCAGCAAGGACAGCCTAACACCTTTTTTGGACCAAATATAAATGGTAAGTCCTTCCATAAGGAAGGTGTTGTTGTGTTTGATGGGGTGGTCGCTCGTTACGGAAGTCCTTACAGTGGAAGGTAAGTTGTGAGATATTTCATTGAGATTTACGATGGTTAAAAGGTCGGGGTAGTTGTCATTCGAATAACCGGGAGTAAAATACAAACTATACACATTATTTGATTAAATGAGCTATTATAATGACTAGGGGAGTATTTGAGTTGTAGTGATTGGTCAAACGCGCGTATGAATACTTGTTGGAGGATGTAAACAAGGATGGTGCATGCAGGGACATTCGAGTGGATTTTTCAGATTCTTTTGTCGACTTTGGACGCAGTGAGTTATATCGTGTTTAGAACTCAAATTATGTTTTTTGAATGGATATTGTAGAAAGCGTTTTAATTGTTAAGTGGTTAATAGTTTTTCTTTCTCATTTTGGAGGGAAATTAACACTTTTGCTGGCGTATTAATATTTTTCCTGATTTTTCTCTATTATTTCATTATATTGACCCGGTCTGCTTGGATTTTATCCATCCCTCTTTCTATTCTTTTATTGTAACTCTTTGCCTTGGCGTGAATTTTTACTTTTGCACCCGCACACAGATGCACTGATTTGAGGGCTAAACTACGGTAATACCGCTGTGTTGCGGTCCCGGTCCTTTGTTTACAGTGTGGCCATCTTCGATACAATGAATTCTCGCTTCCGGGACCGTGTGACGATAATGGCCAGATTTTCAAGGCATACAATGCCAAACAGCACATTCAAATGGCCAAAACACACACTTCTGTTCAAGTGGTACAAGAATTATTTAAAAAATCATATTATACAATCTAGAACTATGTTAAATTTGTTATTTAATTTTGGCATAGCGAACCCTGACTCCAAAGTAATTTCGCTCCACTTCAGTTGACTTGCATGGTTCATTTTAGTCACATGTGTAAAGTTCCAGGATATTTCTATACTGTTACTGTTACTGCTGTTTAATTAGGCTTTTCTTCAGTGATTGAATCATCAATTCCTCCTTTCCTTGTGCCTTTTTAAAAATAAGATTTGAGTTGTGTGTTTTATCATTTTTAAAAAAATTGATTGAGTTCCACAACGTGACGCCATGAGTTTTGCAATGTTTTTTTCACAATGGCTTTTGTAATATTTTATATGAAAATGCCTCCAATGAAGAAGCTGCGCTTAGATTTTTACATCAAAACAATTTAATAAGATCAGTGCCTCCAATTTTTCTGCAATGTCCGAGGCAGATGACTTTAGTCAAAACTGGTAGGGATGAAGAACAATGCTTTAGGTGCCCAGCTCATAAAGGTGAGAAGGTTTTTTTTGTGTAAGGACACCTTTTTTGAACTTAGTTGACCTCACGTAACATTGTTGAACTTCTCTTCTCCTGGAGTTTCGAGGAGCCAGTTGTTCATACCGTGTCCCTGACTGGATTGAGTGAGAATACAGTGATCCAGTTGTTTGCTCACTTCCGTGACGTGTGTTCATTCAAGCTAAGCTAGTGAAAACCCCTTTTCCAATAGGTGGTGTTGGACAGCATGTCGAGATAGATGAAAGTTTAATTGCTAAAACGTATAGAGGTGGGTGTTTGGGGGAATGGATAGGGCCACTGGAAAGGGATTTTTGGAATTAGTGCCCGACAGAACTGCTGCCACCTTCGACGACTGCATAAGCAGGCATATATTGCTCCTGGCAGCAAAATAAACTGTGACAGGTTTCCTTCATATAATAGCATAGTGAATATTCCCGTTGTGCCGGCTTACCAACACGTTGTCGTAATTCATTAGCATAATTTCTTCTACCCCATAACCGGTGCATGTACAAATAAGGTTGAAAACTTTTGGAAAAATGCCAAGAGATGATTTAAAGCCATGAGTGGCCCTAATGAGGCGATGCTGTCATCCCACATTGATGAATTTATGTGGCGCGGAGAGTACGGAAAGACACCAAAGGAAGCATTCAACAACATTGTTGACCATATTCAACAGTGGTATCCTGCTCCGTAAAGTAAGCTTATGATATGATTTTTTAAAAAAATTGTTCTATTTTAATGTGCAGTTTGGCATTGTAGCCCTCTATGCCTTGAAAATCTGGCCATTATCGTCACCCGGAAGCGAGATCATTGTATCCAAGATGGCCGCACTGTTAACAAAGGACCGGGACCGCAACACTGTGGTTTTACCTAAACTACTGCCATAATTTTAGCTGCAGAACACACGCCTGACACTAAAACTCTTGAATTCAATTGTTTTCAAGTAAGTAACCTAATAATCCTAATTGCCAAAACATGAAATCATGGTGAAATGCAGGGGGCTTGCCACCCTGAAACGCATGCGACTAAATGTAGAACGACACAAACTTTTTTTTAGGTAAGACGGCCATCTTGTGGGATGTCAGACCGGGATACCCCCACCGATCATGTGACTACATCTAAATATAGCCACCTGCATGGCACCAAAGATTCGAATGCTACACGATCTCTGATGGCACAACGCGTTGGTGCGATGTTTCTCCTTGAAAACCGGTAGTGTGATATATGATGCGGTGCTCCGATGATGCTGCTGTGTAGAAAATGAATAATAATAAGAAAAAGATGGCCCATGTTATGCAATCTCTTTTCTCCTACAATTGAACAATTTAACTTTAGGCTAAAATGTGACCAAAACCAGGAGTTAGGAGTATAGATTAAGGCCACCTCTATTCGGACTGGAGTCCTGTCAAATTTTTTATTTATTCGGATTCGAGTCCGAAAAAAGGTTTTATATATTCAGACTGAGGTCCGAAAAAAATGTTGTATTTATTATTAGGACTCGGCTTCTAAGTGAGTAATGTGAGTGTAAGGAGGTTACAATAATATAACAGTCGTTGGGGGATTTTACATAAAATCAGAATTAAAACTAGAATTACCTGCAGTAGTCTCCGCCTAAATGCATGCCACACAAAAGCACGCTCCGCTCAAATGTACGCTTTCGTCATCTGACGGGTTTTTTACTATATAATTTAGACATTTAGGCATGGTCACTCCCTCTAAACGCACACTCCGATCCACGAAACACGCCTACAGGTTAAGCTGAACAAAGGGAAATCTGCACAGCTTGCCTAGGACAAGCCTAGACAGCATGATATTTGGTGAGAATGCCCCTCACACCAAACAAAGAGCCTGATGGACAGCGTTTTCACACCCAACTTTTCACAGACAGTACATAGGTCTAGGACTGGTCGATGAAATGTTGGGGGGTTGGGAGACTGAAATTTTATTTGATTGGTCACTGGAAATGCATCTTTATAGAAGAGAAGGTTTCTGACTGGTGTTTGGGTGACTGCATGTAATGTTTAGTTAGACCTAGTCCTATGATGCGCAACACGCGTAAATGGTCGTCCATGAATTTACAGTCGGAGGTGGTCACTTTGAAAGCCACATTGCTCGGCCGTTGTCTCTATGATTATCATGAACAATTTCCTCTTACGCTATCTGTTCCCGACTTTTTATGGTGCATATACACACACACCCATTCAATGCCTTTGTATTCTTAACCGCAACCGGGGAATCCTTCACTAAACCGTCACGTGTCGTCACATTATCGGCCCAAAATGACCCCCGCCCCAAAGGGAGGTCACTAGAATATCAAGGCAATGAGACGACTGTGTCCCTTCCTCCCTTTGCAAAGGTTCATGTAAACGCTCGCTCTGTATAAACACTCTCTAAGGAGCCCTCCCGAGCACCGTGCGTTTAGGCGGAGATTACAGTACTAGGACTGTGTAACTGTGTCAAAAGACTGCACTCTCATTGCACAATGGCAGTGTCTACATACACGGTAAACGACAACTCAGGGTCAACATACACGGTAACAGGCCTCGGGCACTGCTACCAGTCAACAGCTCCATCATTACTTCCACCACCATTTGTCTTTCCACGGGTTAAATTTCATTTTGTTGTGTTATAGTTTTTCTGTAATTATATATTTAAAAAAAAATCACATCACACAAAATCGACAGCCGTGGCCTCTTCCCGACACCTATTCCCCCAGCAAGCCGAGAGTGCGTGATCTCATTGGTCGACATATTTGACTTTGTCCCCTGGCAAGGTCAACTCAACTTTGTTGTTCTGTTTATACTAATGATGCAGGGAGAGCCAGTATAGATAGATCTAATAACAGGATGTTAAAGCTCATGTCTCGATTTCTGTCGTTATAATAGAAAAATCTGTCATAAATGCTGGAAATATTTAGGAGCAAGGGTAGATCTAGTTGTGTGGTAATTGCCAAATATACTCGTATATATATATATATGTAGAGTGAAATCTGGTTGTACTATTCGGTTGCATAAATTCATTGATCTATACTCTGCCTAATTGGTCCCTTTTTCGTTGTGTCAGAAGTGATGTCATGCTGGACTTGATTCAGAGTCCGAATATAATTTTTGTTTAATCAGACTCGAGTCCGAATAGTCACTTTGATAAATTAAAGGTATCGCCAGAATATGAATTAGGGGAAAGAAGAGAGAAGCCAAGCATCATCAGTTCACATTTTTATCCTCTTTCAGGTCTCTTATTATACGCTGCGTTTGGCCCCAATTCTCTCTTTACCTCTGAAAATGAATTCTTCTTCACCATTACTTACTCACTGGGGCCATAACTGGAATCTAAGCCTAATAGACTTAGAGTTAGAGACCCGAAGAACCCAACCCTGTGGCTTCCCCACCTCTCTCTCACTGGTTGCGCACAAACTTCTCCCTTTGCTTGCTGCGTGGGAAACATTATAAGGGCACACACAGCTGAAAGTAATTTTTTCGAACCAAAAATATAGTTGGAGCCATTGGCGTAACCCGTACCTACAATTATCATTGAGTCAAAATCGGATTATCCTTCATGTTTTTTCTGTTGTGTGTGATTTTTGTTTCTTTTGTAAGATGAAAACAATAAAACCTGCAGTTGTGTGCGCTGTTTGTGTAAGTTTATACACGTCTATAATGCAGGCTACACTTTCTTGCTCAGACTTTCATTTGGCCTGTCTAAGTTCTTTCTGTGGCAGTTTAAGTCTACTTTTCCCTTAAGCAGCCCTGAGACATTGATTATATTTCCTCACTGCCTGACTTTAGGTTAAGGAGTGGTATCCCTCCCCTGTTCTACTCACATGGTATGTTTTAGTTACAGTAATATGCAATACATTTTTTTAATGTAGTATATTTTTTACAGTATTTTCTGTATACACAGTATTCTAATTCGTTGAGTGAGTTAATGGATTTAGAAAGCTCATATAATTAAAGTGATTTTCTTTTTCTTTTATTCCTTTGCAGTCAGGACATAGTTCTGTCGGATTTCTTTAAAGACAGCTATGGTATGTATGTTCCGAATTTTTTTTTCTTCTCTTGAGTTGAACTACTGTGTATTCCTATTTAATCGTATGCCAAACCATTGATGAAGTAGGAACATGATATTTTATTTATGAGTTTTAGCATCATTGCTCTACTAAAGAATTTTATCTTTCTGTTGACTTACGGTAGGGTTTAAGGAATTTGAATTTTTACATGAATCCAGAAGTGGCAGCATCATTCCATGTCTGTTGATGGCTGTGTCCTGATGGCTTTGTGGACCTTGCAAAATGATAACATCAAATGTTAGGTTAGCGCTAGAAGTGAACTGTGGCTTTCAGTTTTGTTACAAGTATGTATATGGTCACAGAACACCCAAGACCTCTGTGGATTTGAAAATAATTTTGTCGGAGTACAAATTAAAGGAAGCACACAATGATAACTTTTAATAGAATTCTCAGCTTCACTTTTTGTTCAGATAGCGTATTTTTGTTGAAATAATGAAAATTGTTAGGCTCATTCAGACATCCTTGTGTGCACACTCACATTAGCGTCATGTATGCTTATACGGACATGCACATGCTGACTCAGGTTATTACACAAACAAAATCAACTCTTTTCTGACCTTTCTCATGTCTACAGTCTACTTGTGCAAGTACACACACACACACATACACGCACACACACACGCACGCACGCGCGCACACACACACACACACACACACACACAACTACACACTGACACACCCACCTTCTCATGTTCCTTCTCAAAATATGTCTCTTTCCATGCTCTGTGTCTCTGTAGATGTCATTTCATGTAATTCTTACTCTGTGTATTTGCATTACAGAGAACATTATCAGTGCCCTTTCCAAGCTAATCAGAGAAAAAGCCACTTCCCTGTACAACAACACAGGTAAGGATATTTTGATATTTTGAGGGATTGCACGTATTTCTACTTTCTAGTTCTGACTCTGTCCTTTAATAATAATAATAATAGATAATAGATAGCATTTGTATAGCGCATATCCCCGCTCAACAGCAGGCTCTATGCGCTTTACACTATATTATTACCCCAGCAGACCATAGTACACTCCGAAACATTCTCAGCTTCCCGGGAAGCATACAGTGCGAGCAGCTGATTAAGCGCTCAAACACTTACAAACTGACAAGATCTTTTGCTGTCTATAGCCGGGTACCCATTTCCACCTGGGTGAAGTGAGGAAAATTTGTGTAAAGTGCCTTTCCCAAGGACACAACGTCGGGCCCCTGACGGGATTCGAACCCACGACCTTACGGTTGCGAGTCCGAGAGCCTAACCACTAGGCCACCGGCGCCACATAAACAGACAGTCAGTTATAAGGATCCCTACAAACCATCTTTCTCAGCTTTTGGGAAAGAAAACTATAAGCTACCTCAGCGTCCAAAGTGTAAATTATTTGCCTTTCAAGAGTGTTTGTTACTAACTGGATGTCTACGTCATATGAATTCTACTGTGTGTTTTGTAAAGGGTAAAGTTGTGTGGAACCTGAAATAATTGTTTTCTGGTGTGTTTATTTTATTTATTAATTTTTTTCCAGATCAACAGATGGTAGAGACACAGCTTGGAGATAATGTCTCAAATTTGAAACTGTCGGAGGACAGATCTGGCCGTGGTCAGTCAGACGGGGACCAGAGTTTCTCTGGTCAGCAGCATGAGAAGCTTGCCCCAGGCAGTGTGGAGATTCTCAGCTATGGCCTCGGCAACTTCACTTCCTGTCCCATTGCAAGATATCAGCTGTCCTTCCTTATAGCTACGAGGGACAGACTTTCAGTGAGTCATATTTTTTCTTCTTTTTTATCGGTATGCGGTTATATGAATTGTTGGGGTAGATTATTATAGGTATTATCCCTCTATACTGTTGCTGAATACGTACTGCTGTGTCTGTTCTTTTTTCAAAGTAAGTAGAGGTCAATGTTTAGATTACTGAAGTCATTCTGTGATTTTGTCTAAAATTTATTTTTGGGTACTGAACGTTTATGTCAGGACACAATGGAATCAGGCGCTTATCAATTTTGGGTGTAGGGAATTATTGGTATCATCGTAAAGCTTGTTTATTTGTCTAGTTTTTGATGAAAAAATACCCGTTTACAGTGAGTAGAAGAAGAGATTTATTTGTGACTAAAGGAGATGGGGTTGCCTGGTGTCAGGTTTAGAATTAGGGAGGAAATGGCCTATCGAAGTTTGGTGACGATAAAAGCTGGAGTGTCCTTGAAAACGGCAAATTTACACTTTTTTCTGCCTTTCATCAACGTTTTTCAGTAAATTCCCCGCAGGAATGTGTTTTTTAATGGACATATTAGGTGTTGAGCAAAAAAAAAAATTGATGAAATTGTCCAATGGGTGGAAAAATATTAATTTCTTTGACATTTTAAAAATTTTGACTAGCACCTGATTTCACTATGATGCCACACATTTGTATTTTTTTGCTCTAGTTTTTTTGTTAGTCTTTCTCAGAATCTGATTTATCTCCATAGGACTCATGCAGTACCTGTTATGTTTATGACCCCATGTTCTCCAGTCATGAAGTGGATGCACTGAAGACCTTGGGTTTTACAGTCATCTCAGAAAACGAGGTAAGCTGAACATTATTTTTTTTTTCTCTCAAAATGAGCTGATATGACAGGTGAAAAGTTTTGTTATATGTTTTATGGCAGTGGCAGGGGGGGGGGGGGGGGAGTTTTTGCTTCATCATCAAAAGGGGATGTGCCAGCATTGTGTAATTCCCTTAACGATTTCTTTAGCTTTGGTAACATTAAAGTGACTTTCTTTGGAGAAAACTTTAAACAGTTTTTCAGCTTTGAGGAACGAAAAGGATGCCAATGTTTTGTAGGTCAGAGGGGGTGAGGGAGGTTGCGATTGTTTCATGGTTTGGAAGAATTTGTCATCAAGTCATGACTCTCTTTCTTTGTATGGTTAATTTGAGGATACGGCAAGTGGTTCTTAGCTTTTACGACTGTCTCACTTTTAATTGTCTCTCCTTTTGGCTTATTATTTTCAGCCTATGACCTTGATTGTATTACTGTAACTCTGTGAGGTTTCATGCCGTATTTTTTTTTGTAATTCAAGTTCTCTGCTGAGGCAAAGTAGTGGTTGTCTTTTGATCTTTTGTCTCTGCAGGAAGGGAAACGAGAATGCACACAACCAACCGTGGCATTCCTGCCTCATTGTGGGAAGGCGTTATATAACAACTTATTGTGGACCAATCTACTTAATGGAAAGATGGCATGTGGTCTCCATAATCTGGTGCTCGTTGGGAACAGCTTCACTCGCATGGTAGAAAGGTATATTTACACATATATGTATATATAGTCGAGTCTGCTCTAATGGTCACCTGGCCAAGACAATCACCTGTACTAGTGTCCACTTCCCATTTCTTTCCTTGTGTGTTTTCTGTGTTATGATGACCCAGTTCAGGACATGTACCTGTCTAAGACAACTAGTTTTCTCCTTGACAATGGGAGGCTGTCTTGATCAATTTTGACTGTGAGATGAAAGCTCTGAGCCTCTGCTATTTGACAGAGTAGGTGTCTTTTTTTTTCTCTCCTGTAAGTAGGAAGATGAAAATGCAGAAACTTTTCCAAAGTGACTTGAGAACTGTGTTCACTTGTGTCATGCATCAGTTGTTCCAACTTTTTTACCTCTCATATTTTGCGTGGTTATAACCTTTTTACAGTTAGTGTTCTTTGTACTTAAATATCTGTAAAGTGCTCAGACCTGTGTGCACACAGGAGTAGGTGCTACAAAAATGATCTGCATTATTATTTAGACAGGTGGGTGACTACATTGAATGGGTAGTTGGCAGGTGCTCTGGTGTGGTTTGCTCCTTCTTTCCTGTGAAACATCTATCATACTTATCTCTCCTCCCCCTTTTTTGTGTATGCTACTCTCTTGTAACACATCTATTTTGCGGCACTTATGTCAATATGACCTTATTGTGTTGCAAGTGCGGTAAAACTCTTAGTAAAACTAAAACTAAAAGACTACATTGTAGTTGGTATCTTTACCCAGTGTATGTCCCCTTTACTTTTGAATGTCTGGCCTGTATTCGTTGTGACCTGTGGCTTTACATGCAGTTGGGTGGTACACGCACAGACACACATGCGCTCGCTCACTAAAAAGTATGCACACTGTTGGGCGCTCACATACACTCGTACACACTAACACATATACACACACATGTGCCCACATGGTTGCACACTAACACATATGCCACCACACACTCACACACATACACCCACACACACACATATCAACACACCCACACACACATGTATCGACACACACACACTCACACTCACACACACACATATGCAATACATTTTTTCACATACTCTCACACAATAATTGGTATTTGCCGGGAGCAGTACTATGCCAAGTCATACTGCAAGGGTATAAATAGGATGTTCACTGTCGTGATTGCAATGTACTTGAAGACACCATGAGGTCATTCAAGAGGCGGAGCCTTCCACTTGAACGTCCTTCTCCCACAGGACCAGGCCAAGCTTGCGAAGACCCGTAAATAGTCCCCAAAGTATGAAAAATTAAAAACGCTCCGTTATAGATTCAAAGAAAGGCTGTACGTACCCTGCAGTCCTATATGATTTCAACTAAGGTATCAGTACATCTAAAGGGTTGTCTTACTTTATGGGTTTGCCATGCATAAGAAAAGTCTAAGAATTTTAAGTGTTACCGATCAAAAGATTAATGATAGGTTCTTTATCTTTGACAGCACACCAGAACGAGTTTTGCGGAAAACTGGGGACTATATTCTCAAGGTAAGTACCAGGATTTTCTCTTTGGTCATTCTTACATTGTGGATGATTGGTGGGTGATCTGGTATAGTTTTGTTCCTTTATTTTTCCTTATCAAACATCTATAGTCCTTGTCTCTCCTCCTTCTTTTCTTTGTATGTTACTTTCCAATGGGAACTCTGGCTATTCGTCAGCACTTATATGACTTATTTGTGTCGCAAGTGCCATAAAATTAAATCTCTTACCAAGATTCTTCCTTGTTCTCTGTGTTGCTGACATTTAATGTGAAGTGTTGTCTTAGTTTAGGTACAGTGGTCACTGTCTAAAAACCGTAGGAGCCTGGTCCACCTGAGAACCTGCTTTCACTATAATTGCAATGCGTAAGAACCAATTAAAAAATATAAAATGTGCTTAAGAACCGGGTCTGAGCTCTGGGCTGTGTGTTGGTTCAGGTGAAAGTAGAGGAGGTGGCATGGACTAGCAGAGGACAAAATCTACCCATTGCGCAGACATTTTCATATTGTTTTTTAGTCATATACATGAGCTCTACCGAGCGGGTCAGTTACTAATGGATTTTCAGTTGATACAATTTCTTCTCACATGGTCACAGTTTCTGATTATCTTATAAAAGCTGGCCCATTCAGGGTCATTCTTTCTCTTCACTTACAAAGTGTTGCAAGTGGTGCTGCTCTATAGTTTCTATGTTGTCAAATTGTAGTAGCAATGTTTTGTCATAAAAATTCACTTTCAAGCTTCTGGTTCTCACCTGTCCAAAAACAGTTTAGCTGACTTTGACATAAGTACACATATAGTCTTTGTTTGACAAAAACAAACCTCTATCTTCTTTTGAGCATCGTATTGCCTATGTATCATTATTTCACGTAAGAATAAACAAAGGAAGCCCACTGACAGAAGCTGAGTTATGCCAGCTAAAATCTGCCTTAAACAGTCAACTTAAGACCCCTCCTTTTTCTGTCTCCTGATAAACAATTTCTTAGGTGAAGACGACTGTACATCTCTGTACATATAATATTTGTGAAACTTCACACTTTCGCAAACCTAAAACTTCCGAACCACTTAGTTTTCGAATTTGACAAAATTAATGGTGGTTCGGAATCTTTTAAAAATTAAAAGGTGCACAGTTTCGTTGAAGAGCCTGAAGTCACTGTAGTTTAATTTTCAGTTTTTTATTAGTTTCGTTTAGATCTTATCTTGGGAAAGTCCGTCTTCTAAGACGCCATTGTAAACAAGCGAGGCTTCCGTTCACTAGCCATGCGCAGATTCCACACCTTTGAAATTATGGAGTGTACAACCACGAAAGTGGAATAGAGAATCAATCTGTACATCTATTATATAATATTGGGCTACTCTGAAACACACATGTCACTTTTCTCTCTATGTTTATAGCTCCGTTCCAGCAGAGTGTAAAAAGAGTAGGCCAATATGACTTTCAGTTGATGTTAATGCACCGATCATTCCTTTCATTGAAAGGGGGCCCAACTAGTATATATAGATCTACTTTTGCATCTGGTGGTGACTTGTCATGATGAGGTACATTAATGGTCAAGGTTGTTTATCCAAGTTTTGAATGATGGGAAGAAATTTAATTTAATTTCATGTCTTTTCCCAACTTTATGACGTATGTTTTCTTTATTTTTTAACTGTGGCATGAAGTTTGTCTACCCTTTTACACTCCTTTTACTTTTAGGATGTGATGATAGACTGATCTTCAAGGAATGCCTCGGTGGGTCTGTTTCTCTTTCATAGTTTCTGTTTTCCTGTCTCATCCATTGCTTTTGTATCAAAACTTTGTGTTTTGTCTTATCAGATACACCCACACATGGATGAAGTGGTCCTGCCTTCGACTTTTGTTCACAAAGATGTGTTCAATGATCTATCTCTTCACACTTTCCCCAAGTCTCGGCTCCAGTCTGCACCAGCTTCTCTGTGGGAAGATTTGGAGGAGCCGTGCTACAGTGACACAGATGTAGAATATATTCGAAAATAAAGACAGTCCGAGGTAGACTAAAAATAACTTCCTTAGAAAAACTTCAACAGATGGGTGACAGGAAAAGACCAAAATGATACAAGGTTTTTCTTTTAGAGCAACCATGCCAAGAAATGAGTTGTGAACCATGATTGCCAACATCTGTTTCAGACCCTGTCACTTGAAGAGGAAGGACAGTCTGGTTTGATCCTATTCACAGCTGTGATTTGTATTTGCCTGCTGTGGCCACATTTTACTACCATATATGATGTAGCCTTAATAACCAGTGATATGTAATTTGTAAATTAAATTAGTTTTGAGATTTCAACGAAAATAAGTAGTTGGGGTGTTCCAAGTCATTTTTGTGAATGCTGCACAAGTCATTTTTTGAAAAAAAGACTGAAATATTTTTATCCGATTTTTTTTTTTTCTGACTTGAATGTGGTGGATGAGAAGTTCTGGCAAGCCTGTGACGAGTCGGGCCAAGTATTGATGTGTGTTGTAACTGTTTGTGAGAGCAGCTGCTTCTTTAGTTTTACACATTACTTTAGTCTGAAAATTTGCCTATATTTTGTTCCATTAATCAACGTTTTTCAGGATAATTCACACGAAAATGTGTTTTTATACTGACAAACAATGCGATGAGTCAAAAAAAAAAATTAATAAATTGATGAAAATTGCCGAACTGGAGGAAAAATGCCTGTTTCTTCGATTTCATTATTTTGACGAGCACCAAATTTCACCATGATGCCTCAGATTTGTTGCTTTATTCTTTTGTTTCTCTGTCTCTCACCCGCCCTATTCTAATTATATGACGAGAAGAATGTGCCTAAACAATAAAGATGCTGACTCTATAATTATTTGTGTACGGTATATTTTTAGACTTTGTTATTAGTGTTACTGATAGGTTACCAGTAGTTGAAGGGGGTGCCCAGACTCCAGCCCCAAGCGTGTACATTTTCAGCAGCGCTTGTACCTCCCATTGTCCCAAGATCGTACATTCTCAGTTTCATGGTGTACTGAATTTGCTCATTTTTCGAAATTAGCTAACCTAATTAAAGTTTAATTTTCGTAATATTTATTCATTTACCTTCAAACATGGTTATACTTTATTATCTAAACCTAATTACAAAGATACAACATCGCTTTTTAGAATGCATGCCTCTTTTTCTAACATACTGCTGTATTGGCTGGGACTGGGGTTAGGGAGTGCAAAAAGATGGCTGGGGCTGGAAGGGTTAATTGTTATCTATCTGTCTGTCTCTAACTTTCTCTCTTTCTCTCATCTGTTTGTCATTCTCTCTCCGTCTTTCTCACTGTTTTCTGTCTGTCTGTCTGTCTGTCTCTAACTTTCTCTCTTTGTCTCATCTATCTTTCTCTCCGTCTTTCTCACTGTTATCTGTCTGTCTGTCTGTCTGTCTGTCTCTAACTTTCTCTCTTCGTCTCATCTGTCTGTCATTCTCTCCGTCTTTCTCACTGTTATCTGTCTGTCTGTCTCTAACTTTCTCTCTTCGTCTCATCTGTCATTCTCTCCGTCTTTCTCACTGTTTTCTGTCTGTCTGTCTCTAACTTTCTCTCTTCGTCTCATCTGTCTGTCATTCTCTCCGTCTTTCTCACTGTTATCTGTCTGTCTGTCTCTAACTTTCTCTCTTCGTCTCATCTGTCATTCTCTCCGTCTTTCTCACTGTTTTCTGTCTGTCTGTCTCTAACTTTCTCTCTTCGTCTCATCTGTCTGTCCTTCTCTCCATCTTTCTCACACACTGGTGCTCTTCTTTCTCTCCTTCACATTCCAATGAGCACAACTAAAGCAAACATACACTCCATACTCTCATATACACAGACACACTCGCACATACATACAAACACCCACATGTGTGTGCACACACACATACACACACACATGCACACACACATACACACTCTCTCTCTGAATTTGGTTACCTGCACACACAGAGGTTGGTTACCTATCCAGTCAGTAGCTATAAGGTCCCTTTTTTTCACACTCTCAAATTACACTTTCTAATCAACCTACTGCCGTGGGTGGTTGGTGGGTGCTCTGGTGTGGTTTGCTCCTTCTTTCCTATAAAAAATCTATCGTCTCTATCTCCCCTCCTTCTTTTCCCCTTCCTTTTTGTGTTTGTTACTCTCTTGTAACACCCCTAATCTTCAGCACTTATATGACCTTATTGTGTTGCAAGCGCTGTAAAACCTATACTAAAACTAAACAACCCACTGCCTGTCTGTTGTCTCTCAGTCCACAATGTCTTCTTGTTTGTTTTGATACGTGTCTTATGGCGTTTGCAACTGCATAGGGTCATATGAGTGCGCGGGACAGATTAAACGTTTTCAGTTTGGTAGGAACTAGTTCTGAATTTTGCACGGATGACAGCTGAAGCCTACTCTTATAGATTTTGGACCACCAAGGGATCTTTGACGTGTGCAACTTGCACACTGGACCGCCAAGATTTTTTGCCCTCATCAGAGAAAGCTAGGTGTTGAATCTTACTTACCCTGCCTGAGATCAGGGGTGTGACTGAAAGATAGTAGTAAAAAGGAGCCTATGATTAGTAGTAAAAAGGCTGCAGAAAGAGTTGGGAGGCAAAAAGGGACAGGGGGGGCGCTGAAAATGGAGACGAAAGCAGACGACAGTACATAGAGAGCAGGAAAGGAGGTGAAAGTAGAACCTTTTAGAGAAGAAACTTTTCCGCTGCTGTCAGGTTTCGAATTTGGTACCTATTACTCATTGAATGAGAGGCGAACACCATAACCTCAAGACCATGAGAGTCCCCATAACATGTTTAGTCTACATAAAATCTTTCTACCTGTTTGTCTATCTATCAACACTTACTTCTAAAACTGAACGTGAAAGGGAGTAGTTGTATGCTATCCATGAATGTGACAGACTAAATGAAGCCTATATATTTGTTAGTTTGAGAAAAGAAATGCACATCAATACAATCACAGTCTTTAAGTACGCGGAAATAGTAAGTAAGATAGAGAGAAACAATAAAAGGAAGGAAAGAAAGACTAACCATTCAGCAGAGTAAGTGCGCAGAAATATTCATTAAAAAAAAAAAGTGAAGAAATAAAGTGATACAACTCCCAAGTACAACTCATGTCAAATTTTATTTTGGAAAAAAACCCAACAAACAAGCAACACTCAATATCTTTGAGATTTTAATAACTTCAATAGACAAAATGTGCACGTTAATGGCATCCACGTTTTAAAGAGTGTGAAATGTACATATCACTTTGTCGCATTGGGCATCAAAAGGTTGCATTGACTGTATATATATATATATATATTTATATATATCAAAGCTGTCAAAACACATGCAGGTAACAACCTTTTTTTTTTTTACAGGATGGGCCAGTTAGTCTACAAAAACAAAACAAAATATGTCTCGGCTTTTGAAACATACTCGGCTTTAGTACTTTAATCCACTTCTCAGCCTCTGAACCTTAACCTCATATCAGAAGAAGGTTCAGAGGTTCACATACACACACACATAGGTACATGCACACATACACAAACATACAGGTGATATTTGTATGCAATGCAAGGAATATTCACAAACACACAGGTGATATATTTGTATGCAATGCAAGGAATATTGTATGCAGGGGTGATTAAGATTGGGACAAGTGGGGGTACATGGGCTATATGATAGGATAATGACAGTCTCTCACTGACCTCACTCAGAAGCTAATGGGCTATTATGGCAGGTCCATTATATTTGTTCATTCATGCATACCTGGAGCCTTTCTCAAACACTGCAGTGCGATAAAGTGGGCATAATCTACTCAACAGAACTCACTGCCTCTACCATGCCTCAAAAGACACCATATTAACCAACATTTGAGACAAGGGTTAAGTTACAAAATCTGTAATTACCGGTACCTTTAACTGTTAACCATACAAATAATCGTTTAATAACAACGGTACTCTCGAGAATTTTGCTGAAAGGCCATATCCCATATTAGTCATCACATATGTACTCTAGGCTCAAAATGGCATCTGAAATAATCAAAATTCGTGCTCACATTCAAATAATCTTCAACCCATCATTGCATACAGTGAACATACTACATTATTTTTCTTTACATTACAGCAAGTACAAGGTGCATTTTCTCACATCAGCCTCAACTAGCTACAGCTTCTACAAAGATCTCTACCCTACTCACACCAGCTCATTCCCTCTGACACACACACACACACACACACACACACGTAAGTCCTTTCCCATCATCCCTCTCATTATATCAGTTCTTTCTCTCCATTACACTCTCAATTAGTTCTTACCATCAATCTCTCTCATATCAGTTCATCCCTCTCGTTTCCTTCCATCACACTGTCATTACTTCTTTCCTTCCATCACAATCTCATTACTTCTCCTTCCATTTCAAACATACTACATTCATTCCTCACCAAGTGAAAAAAGCTAAAACCACAACCAGATCTCACATTAGAAAAAAAAAAAGAAGAAATTTTTCCCATTTAAAAACCCCAAAACATGCACATTCGTCTTTTTCTCAACTTTTTGTAATTTTGTGTTAAGAAAACTGTCTTTCATTTCATGCAAAAATAAATAAGGATACATTCACTTGTCCTTTAGCACAAGAAATATTGTCTACCCTTTTCATGTTCAAATAAAAAAAAAAGGGCATGTTCACCTTAACTCAGCCAAATAAATAAGGACACTTTTACCTTTCAACTATAGCCTACAGGCTGATCATGGCATCCATAGTTCACTGTGCAAAGGAGAACATTAAATAAAATCAATGTAGCTCTCTGGAAAGTTTCAAAGATGATTGGAAGAAGAGCTCTTTAGAGCCTACGCATTATCAATCTGTTTGTGAGTCAACAGATTGCTGAATTAGTTATAGCACACACCACACCTTCTAGATTTCAATATATCAAGTGATGGTCAAAACCATCACAGCTAAAGTTGGCTAACTCATTCTTATCACGCATTGTTCCCTACTTCATTTATTCCGATTGTCAAAGCTACGTTATTTATGTACAACATACTGTACCGGTCTGATGGATATTTTAATAGCCCTTCAATTCTTGTGGATGTGGTTATTGGCTCAGTTCTACATGATGCAAATGTCAGACTAAGCCAGAGAACCACCCTTGTCAATGACTAGTATCAGTTGGCAATCATTCACGTCTGAAAGGAGGACTAGGAGAAAAGATGTCAATAAATTCTCTCTTCATTCAGTTTGCACAACAAAGTAGTAACTCCCCATTAAGAAGAGGGATATCTAACATTGCTCAAGCCTGAAAAAGAAATCCTCAAACCCCAAACTTATTGCAAGTCATCAGAAGTTCTACCATAAAAACCATAATTTGTCACACACTCTTAAGACAACAGGGAGAGCATTCGTAAGCCTTGTATACATTTTCTGCAACCGGTTCTGGAGGCATTTAACAAGATAGATACACTGTATCTAAACCAAACTCCGATAAAGTATATCAAATCAATCTATCAGCCTCGCACAAGCATACTTTAGACCGGGTTGTGAATGACACTTCAATGTCTTCTTCTTTGACTTCTCATTCAAACACTTCGATGTTACACCAGGTGAATAAGGAAAAGTATGATTCGTGGTTGTGTCGAACGCAGACTGGAAAACAGAGGTCATAATCAATTCATACATGATACATTTTTAGTGACTGAATACAATACCTCGGGAGTTGTGCAGTAGTCTTCCATGCTGAAATCTTTACATATCACTACACAGGCCAGAGTACATCACCTTCCTTCACATAAACAAAAATGACCTGCGTTCATTTTTAGGAGACCAAACCTGCCACTAGTGTATCCTTTTCAAACTACTTCACTTTTCATCTTCTACAAATGAGTTACGCAAACATATCAATAGCACCAAATGTAAAATCAAAACAGGTCTACCAATAAATAAAATGTATGCACATGACAAAACTGAGAACATCACGATAAACTATCAATAAACTAACTTTTGACTTTGGACCACCTCCACAGACAAATGAACATTTTAAAAAATAATAAAACGCCCATTTTCATTCAAGGTGCTGAGTGCTGTTTTTTCATTTTCATCTCTGTCAATAGTACTGTACAAGGCTAAGGTAAGAGAATGGGTTGAAGTGCAGTGAAATCTTCACATATTTAACATCAGAGCTAAGACAACAGACCCCCTTCCCCAACCCTGAAAAACCCCACAAAATGTTTAAAATTTGAAATACGAGTTCAGTCAATAAGCAAGTTATGTGAACATCAATACAAATCTTACAAAACCTGGCATTCATCAAATGACGAGTTGCTTTATGAGACTGACTAACTTAAAGCTAACATTCACCATAACAATGGCAAACATTGGAAGCAAATTTTTACAAAAGTATTTAGTGGCTGAGATTAAAATTGGTAAGAAGAAGTTAATGCTACATTGTTTACAACCAAAGTGTGAGTATTCTCAGAGTAAAATCTGTTTACGGCACAAACACATGACCAGCACTGCAGGAGGGCAGGGAGGGGGAGGCAAACCACGGCAGAAGACCCAAACTCATGGTAAAAAAACCCAGACGAGACATACTGATAAATACCTTCAAACAGTCAAAGATGGCATGCAGTGACAAAATAATGATAATAATACTTGCATTAAACAGCACATATCCACGCTCTCCACCAAGCTTTATGTTTATGCGCTTTACAACTATTATTTCTACAGCACACCCAAGAACACTCAGAAACATTCTCGGCTTCCCATGAAGCATACAGTGCAAACTGCGAATTGCACATGCTTAATAAAACACAAACTGACAAGATCTTTCACAGTCTATAGCCGGGCACCCATTCTCACCTGAGTGACGTGAGGAAAATTTGGGTTATGGACCTTTTCCAAGGACACAATATCGTGCCCCTAACAAGATCTGAACCCACGATCTTATGGTTATGAGTCCGATAGGCTAACCACAAGGCAATCGTCATTTTCTCCAATGTTCTTCATTAGACACACACGACTTTCACACATACAGACAAGTGCAAAATCTCTAGGGTGTTGAGAGCACATCAACAAAGCACCAAAGTCAACAAGTTCTCCCATAACCCTTCCAAATAAAATCAATACACTGAAAACTTTACTTCTAGAACCTGGTGGTACTTAAATACTAATTCTACACCATCTCACTGTGGTTTCTGTCTGCCCAGCCTTTTCCTGGCACTGAATGACAATCACTGTATGAATTGTTTTTTTTGGTGGCTTTTTTTTTACATAACACAAAAACTTCCAAAACTAAGCACCTGCTTAGGTTGCTGACAACTGCTCAGAACAAACATAAATGTCTTTCAAAGCCACTATTGAGGATTATTACACAGCCATTGTCTCAATGACTCGGGCCTCATCTTAACGGCTTACAAGAAATAATGCATCATGCATGGTAGAATGTATTAAGACACCAGATGAGTCTATAACAACTTATCACATGGTCAGTTATATCATAACTGCTCAAGCCACGAACTAAATTTTGACAAGTGAGAACATGTATATGCACATCAGACTTTGACCATCAGCTAAAACACAAATATGACGATACCTGGAAATGATCTCAAATAAAACACCCACAAACTGTTCCAACCTTCAGCATACTGCTACCAGAGAACAAAAAATGCTCCTTCTCTGACAACAGCACTAAGTGAGCGGAACATTTTCAACCTAGGCAAGCCAGATATACAGCTGAAAAAAGTCCAGTATCACGACAGTCGAAGTGAAAAACTTTCGAGGCCTGTGTACTTGTGACCGTAGCTAAAAGAGATTTATGCAGCTAGACACCTCAACAACTGATAATTTTTTTTTAAAATTAAAAAACAATTAAGTATCAAAATCGAAAAATGCTATCAGAAAACTCAAGACTTTTTGTGGTTATTGACAAAACGGCCCAGCTTGCGCCACAAAATTATTCATCATCCCGTCAGAAGAAGTGATCACCAACATAAGCAACAAACAGATACCGGTGTGGAGGAGTTTTGTCTTCTCCACTTTTCACAGAGCACAGCATCAACAAGCTGGTCAATTGCTCTAGGCCCAAAAAACGAGGTTTATCAGGAGAGAGAAAAAAACATATTGTCCTTTTAAAAATTGATCCTTACTTATGTGTATTTTCTACCAATATTTTTTTTCCTTCAAAATTTAGAATTTGAATTCATATACAATATTTCTCAAAGACATAAAACTGATACAAATGATTAACAAAACTGCAGTAAAAAAACATTTTCAAAATTTTGGGCTCAGTACACCTGAACAGCTGGCCATCTATAAGTGAATGAACAATGAACCATCTATAAGTGCCATGCATGTATTCAAATATTCCTAGCTACTCACAACACTGCTGTCTCTTTCTGCACAAACAGAAACGAGTTCCTTTACAATCTGAGGACATGGTGCCTCCGGTACACTGGACAAGGGGAGGGGAGGGGGGCTTCTGAACTGCATGATCAGAACACACTAGAGGGGATATATAGTAAGAAAATGACTTATCCTTCTTTACGCTACATTTCAGTTTCCCTTATGAAGCTTAAAAACTACAACAATTTCTACTGTTTTGCAAGAAAAATGTTTTGTTGTTGTTGTTTTCTCTCTTTGTCAGAGCATTGTCAAAACCTTTATTTTCCCATCCAAAGAAATTAATAAAGAAAAGCAGCAAGACAGTCATATAACTTTGTTATACTTTAGGAAAAATCAGTAGCACATAAAGCAACGCAACACATGAATCTGACAACTGTGTCAGCTCAATCTTCAAAAATTAACTCTTTCCTGACATATCCTCAATAAATCAGTGCCATAACCAATCATTTCTGTATTTTACACCATAAGAGATTTGTCTTGAAAGAGTTAAAAATTACAAAGTGTTAAAACAACAAGTTTTATAACAAATAAGACCACACAAGAACAGAGTGGTGCGGATTTTCTCAGATCACGACCCAAGGTTTTACACCTGGGTTTTTTTTGTTGTTTCGATCCCTCTCGATAGTTCTACTCATTTGCTTTAAGGGAACTGCAACCAAAGCCCATGGGTAGCTTGTTTAGACTGTGTGCTGATGAGCTTTGTCTCATTACACTGCACTAATAAAAGAAATAATAATTGCACTGATGCAGTTATTACTATCATATTAGCACACAGCACCTACAGTCTCTACAACTGAGACTACTCACAGTTGTAGTTCAAGCCAGGAGAAATATTCTTTTAGTTTTAGTAGAGCTTTTACGGCACTCGTGACTGCATAAGGTCACATGAGCGCCAAGGGGAGGATTTCAACAGAGAAGTCTTTACAGGGAGTCAGGCTTACTCTGCTCACCTCTCTAGCTTCAACAGCACAAAGTCTACATCGACTATCAAGGCACCCCGGAAATAGAGGGTCACAAGAGTGTGACAAACATACAAAAGAAGTAGAGGAAAAAATGAGGATAGTAAGGATAAGAACAGAAAAAGCAGCAGTTCCCTGTTGCAGTTCTGGCACAGTTATGAGCATGACATTGATGAATCAGCCCATCTACAATTCTACTGTGCATAAGAACATGTTAATGTCCCCCCCATTGGGAAAGGCCTAAAGACACTTCAGTCAGTAGCACCGCCCTGGAGGGTTGCATGGGGTTCATCAGGCCACTTCAACAGGGCAGCTTCATTTACAACACTCTCAACGATGAAGGTCTGAGAGACATTCCCTAAACTTTGCTTTCAAATGAGTTTTCTTTCCTTCTATACACAAACAGGTAATTTCAAGAGCGGGGAACTGTTTTTATATTTAGCTTTTGTAAGAGTTATGCAGCACTGGCAACGCGATTAGATCATATAAGTAGCGAAGATTACAGGAGTTGCAAAAGAGTAACAAACACAAAGAAGGAGAGGAAAAACCGACGATAGGTGTTCGATAGGAAAAAAGGAGCACAACACATCAAAGCATCCACCAACTACCTATCAGGGAACTGTGCCCAATTCTCAGCCCGAGAAAGGAGGAAAAAAGGGAGAGACTTTACACTTATGGAAAAAATCACATGTACATTTCGGTACAGATGACATCAAACTGGGGTGTCTGGGGCGAAGTGCTTAGGTATTGCACTAGCCGGGGATGGGGGAGTGGGAGGGGGGAATTGGCGACTAACAGGCAGGGGCAAAGAAGCAGCCTACCTCCTAAAAGACCTGAGTAACTGAAGGTCTAAAACATAACATACAACAAACAACCATGATATCAAATGCTGATGAAATTAGAACCCCCTAAAAAAAAAAAAAAGCTTAAAAACAATACCTACTTACAAAAACGAATGCATAGCGGTATAAAAAATGAAGACTTTTGAACAACCTAAACAGCAGCACAGGGGTGGTAGAGAGTGAGAGCTAGCGAGTAAGTGAGAGAGAGACAGGGGAGACACTGACGGTGATCATCAGTGCTTCACCCCATCCACCATCATGAGCTTGAGCTTCCAGTCGTCGCGTAGCGTGTGCTCAAACAGCGCGGCACGGTTCTGGTTGTCGACACGCTTCACCCAGTGCTTGTACATGCCAAAGGCACACGTGTCGATGACCTTGCGCAGGACTTTGATGCTGTAAGGGTTGGTGCGCAGTGTGTCCATGGAGATGGGCGGAGGGTGCTTGTAGTAGAAGTTGAGCCGCAAGTAGAAGATGACACAAAACACAGCAGACTGAGGGAACAGCAAAACAATGGCTGAGGTGAGAATATAGACAAAATAACAAATAAAAACTATCAACAGTGAAAAATAAACAAAAACCGAGATAGTACGATATTAAAGGACTACAACCTACCATAAATTTTGGAAAGATCAAACGCATTTCTGTCTGCCCCGGTCAATACCAGTCGTAAGACGCAATGTGCTATTATAAGGTATGAGGCTCCAAAGGCAAAAATGTGCCATTCAATGAAATTTTTGTTGTTGTTTTCTATTGAAAGTTTGATATCTTCTGCTTCATTTAAGATCAAAATAAACAACTATAATCGACAACAAATATTTTATTGTGAATTATTTTGGAGGTGTGTGTGTGGTTAGTTGTGAGCTTGCGTGACGAGATTAAGGAGCCCATTTTCTCCTTTTTGTGTTTCCGCACCTTGCACTCTTAAAAGTTCCATATTCTCGCCAAACATTGTCAGATTTACTTCATGTTTTTTTTTTATTGTAGGAAAATGGGGATAGTTTTTGGAAATAAGGTAAACTAGTTTTGAAATTTCCTTCATATGACTGATTTCGACCGGGAGGGTCACATTTATGTCCCTACAACCAAGTGGAATCAGGCGCTCATCAATTTTTGGTCATTTACAATTACTAATTATCTTAAATCCTGTTTCAATTGCTTTGGTTTTTTTATTTTAAAAATGCCCATCTATCTTATTCAAGATGGGATATTTGTGATTGAAGGAGGTCGGGGTTGTCTAGTGCCAGAGGTAAAATTAGGGAAAAATGGATGCCAAAGTTTGGTGACTTCCAAAGTTGTAGTGTCCTTGAAAACTAAATTTACATTTTTTTGTGCCTTTGATCCACATTTGTCAGTAAAATCCATGCAGGAATGTGTTTTTAAGAGGACATAAAAGGTGTTAAGGTGTTGAGCCCAAAACAAAACATTTCCATCAAAATTGTCAAAAAAGCAAAAAAGTTGGTTTCTTCAATTATATATTTATATATATGTATGTATGTATGTATGTATGTATGTATGTATGTATGTATGTATGTATGTATATATATATATATATATTTATATATATATATATATATATATATATATATATATATATATATATATAGAGAGAGAGAGAGAGAGAGAGAGAGAGAGAGAGAGAGAGAGAGAGAGAGAGAGAGAGAGAGAGAGAGAGAGAGAGAGAGAGAGAGAAACAGAAAAGAGTCTGAACAAAGACAGAGGAATTAAAAACAAAAAACTTTTCTCTCCACTCAGAAAACCCAAGACCAGAACATGACTCTACATTCCATTTACGTCTTTGGACCTCTTTACTTGTGAAAACACATTTTACAGTACACAGGTTTTCACTACATAACGCCGCTGCTGTAACATTTGTTTCAGTTATGAGAACACACAATGATGCACAATATTCTTACCCTAAACTTGCGGATGGCTGGGAATTTCTTGGGCTCTTGAACCTGAAGACAAAAACCAAGTATTAGTACAGTTGAACATGCTTTACCAGCCATCTGTCTGAGGCAATCGCCTGTACAAACAACCACATGCCACTCCACCTTGCGATGTTTCTAAGTTATAATTCTATATTATAATTCATAATGACCCCTTGTATAAGTCAACAACTCTTCCTAACAATGGTTCGCAGTCTTGGGCAATTTTGACTGCATTTTCACTTATTTTTCACCGCACTGGAGACAAAAAAACAAAACAACTTTTGCACTTACTTGTAGTATATATATGACAAAACAGAGAACAGTTATGTGGGATACTCTTTCTAAAACAAGCTACAAACAATAGTTCCCCTTCCCCCTCCCCTTCTCTCCCTTTTTCCTTCTCAAATTAAAAAAACAATTAAAAAAACAGTTGTTTTTTTTTTTTTTCAATTTAATTTTTTTTAAACTAATCGCGCCAGCAGGCAAAACGAAATTACACACCTGTACTGTAAACGCAAGTGCAAACACTCTTCTAAAATTTCAGTCCAGGCAACGTGAAAGATAGAATAATAAAATATATTTAAAAAAACCCCCAAACATATGAACTCTGACCACAAATATCAAAACCTTCACGCATACTGACAACACCTTCTTTTAGCTCTCAACCTCCTCCCCTTAGTCTTGACCCACAGTTGACCTAACAAATAACTTAACAATGAAACATTTGGCCAGCAAAACGGACCCCCATAAAGAGGAGGAAATAAACAAAGAAAGCGGCCAAATGAACTTCCTTCTTAGCAGAGTCAAAGACACAACCCCCCCCCCCCCCCCCTCTGATATATGTCTTAAGGAAATATGAGGAGCATAATATAAGACTGGAGTGCCCCCCTATCCCCCCACCCATCAAACTTGCAATACTTACTACTAATTTAGTACATGGAATTAGTACATACATCTACTAATCTATAACTATACATGTACTCAGGATAATGGACCTACAAAAACCTAGTTAAACAGATGGAACTGCTCAAAAGTAATACCAAAGATAGTACAAGACAAGATGGGCCACTCAGCCTAAAAAGTGTCCGCAGGAAGTATGCTCTTTGCTTCAGATGGCGCTGCAGTCTGTTTTGAAGCTCTCTTTCGTTTTTCCAGAAGAAGAATAGGAATAGCACCTCCTTGCGTGCGCAGATCGACTGCAAGTTCATCAGCAGTTCGGGTACGTTCAGTGCGGAGTTTTAGGGGTTTTTTAATTTTAATATCCTCTCGCCCTTCATTCTAAAGTCAAATTAAACGAAGAAAACCATCTCCTTTTCCTCCGGAAGAGTTTTTTTGTCAGCGTAACCATTTTTAAAAAGCGTTCTTCCTAAATTTATCCCAAAACTTGCTAGTTTCACTTTGATTTTTTAAAACTCAAGTAGGGTAACTCTGTTCGCAAAGAGTGCGCTTTTGTGAAGAGGGCGCCACCAAATTTTGAGGACACTTTTTTAATTGGCTCAAAGAGAGAAGTGGCCCATCTTGTCTTGTACTATCTTTGGTAATACTAACACGCTGACATATATATGCCCAAAAACAGGCAACAAAAGTAAATAAAATTGACGCCAATAAAATTCAGAACACAACTGCCAAACACAATAGGGGAGGGGAGAGGGGAGGGGAGAGGGGAGAGGAGGGGGGAGGGGAGGGGAGAGGAGGGGTGGGTGGGGCGTTTGTGGAATTAGAGATACCAGAGGCAGGAGCGGAATAGCCTGCTGCACCCTCAAGGTCATCCGACGCACTGACCGGATGTACTTATCGTAGTCCTGAGCTTCCTACACATGGTGGAGAAGACGAGTGGAGTTGAGCTGACTTGTAGCACTTTGTTGGTGTTTGAGCCCTTATCCCTTCCAACCCCGGCCATTTTTCTGCACTCCCTAATCTCAGTCCCAGGTAAATACAGCTGGCAACATACCCTAGTTTAGTTTAGTAAAGAGTTTTACGGCACTTGCAACACAATAAGGTCATATAAGTGCCGAAGATTAGAGGTGTTACAAGAGAGTAACAACAAACGTAAAAAAGAAGGAGGAGAGATAAGGACGATAGATGTTTAAGAGGAAAGAAGGAGCAAACCACACCAGAGCACCCGCCAACCACCCACAACATACCCTAGCCCGAGCCAATACAGTAGAATTTCAGAAAAAGAGACATGCATTCTAAAATGTTATATAGTTTCTTCGTTATGAGGTTAAGATAATAACATATAATAATGTTTAAAGGTAAATGAACAAAAGATTTATGAAAATTAAGAGTTTAATTAGGTTCGCTGCTATTTTGAAAAAAGCACAAATTCGGTACCCCCAAAACAGAAAATATACGCTCCATGGCAGATCGAGCGTGGCTGAGAATATTTACTCTGGGGATGGTGGGAGGTACATTATGTGCTACTGAAAATGTACGCGCATGGGGCTGGAAGGGTTAATTAATCAGCTGCTTGCATCATATACTTCCTGGGAAGCTGAGAATTTTTCAGAATTTTCTAAGATCTGCTGGGGTAAATGATATTGATTGAAAAGTGTAAAGAGCTTGCCGTTAAGTGGGGATATGTGGTAAGCAAATTCTGTTTATTAGTATCGTTATTGTTATTATTAGCCTACTGTGCTGCTTGCACTGTATGCAAATGAAACTTTGCACAAAACTTCTCTAAGGGAAGCTTCTCTTCTTTGTCTTTATGTCTAAGTCCGTTCTTTGTCTTGAGTTGGAAGTACATGTTGCAAAAGTAGTAGAGCTTCAGTCGAGTTGTAAAACCCCCCCCAAAAAACCCATTCTGTCCAACAGTGGCAATCGATTCCAGGGTCAATGAGTTAACGGTGCCAATGACGTGTGCCAATGACGTGTGTCAATGACGAGAGCCAATGACGTGTGCCAATGACGTGTGCTAATGACGCTGACGACACTCACCTGGCTCTGGAAGAACGGATGTGCCAACGCCTCGTGGGCTGTCAGACGCTTCTCTGGATTCACAACTAGCAACTTCTGGATCTGCACAACAAAAAGAAAACAAAAAAATCTTATCCATGTGATATTGGAAGAAATCCACCTCAAGACAGCACTACTTATTTGCACAGTAAAAGAACTCTCAGCATCTATATAGACTGTTTTGTACCACTGATTTACATCTTATATAGAATTTATAAAGATCGCACTATGTCTGGTTTGGATGGTAGAACCCTTAAAATAAGAAAAAAAACCAAGGGGCAGAGTCCACTAAAACTATCTGTAAAGATATCATTAAACTGCTGTTCGGCATCCCGCTCTTTGCCCAAACAGACCAAGCGCCCTCCAACCACCCGCAAGAGTGGGAGGAGGGGATGCATGTACAGTGAAGAGAGAGAACTGCCATAACTCTTCCAAAACATGTGTTAAATCACAGCACACAGTAATTTTAGTAACAGTTTTATGGCACTTGCAACACAATAAGGTCATTTAAGTGCTGAAGATTAGAGGTGTGACAAGAGAGTAATAAGCATAAAAAAGGAGGGAATTATGAGGACGATATATAATTGATAAGAATTGATAGGAAAGAAGGAGCAAACCGCACTACAGCACCTTTCAACCACCCACAAAGCACATTATGATATGAGTTATGACAACAATCTTCATATTTCACCACAGATATATGAACAACAACAGGAACACTGAAAAATAAAAATAAAAGGAGGGGCAGACCACATTAAAGCACACACATACATGAAACGACCGCTTAAAAAACAGACTAATCAAGAGCTTCTTCTCACCAAGTTTTTAGGTGGGTCCGAGATGTCGTCCCATTCTGGACTGTTGAACGTGTAGTCGGCGTTCATGATGGCGCGGAGCATCATCATCTGGCGCCGGTTCCAGAATGGAGGGGCTCCACATAACCTGGGGACGGCGTGTGTCAAATACAATACGATGAGTCGTCGTTCTTAGAGTAAAAGCCTTGTTTTTGTATCAACACGAACACCACATATCAAAAATGGATTAACAACTGATTTCCTCGTATAACATAATTGAAAAAAAAAGTGAAATCTGGTTCACTGTTTACTTTTGACAACTGTTCAAAACTTGCCTAATGAAAATAAAATGTTCTGTCTGTATATAACATGATTAAGTTTTTAAAATAAAATAAATGAACTAAAAAAAAGCCAACATTATAAACCCTAAGAAACTCCTTCACCAGACTGCAAAGCCTTTTTCAAAGACCCTTAAACTTCCGTTTTCTTGAGAAAAAAGAAGCACATTGACACAGAAACATCTATTTACTAGTGGTAAGAAAAAACAAGACACACAGACAAAAACAGTAGAGGGGAGAACAGCAGAGGGGAAATTAAAGAAATAGGACCTTCCAGTAACACCCTTCAATCTACCCCCCCCACCCCCATCCTTTCTTAGGCTAAATTTTGCCATGCAGAATTAAAGATAATAAGGCTTATAGTTTACTTTTGCCAACAATTTGAGGCTTATCTCAAGAAGTAAAAGACCTTTGAGTACGATGTATCATAAAGGTAAATAACTATTTTTTTTAGTGAACCAAAACAAAAAAGGATACAAGAAAACTCCTCAAGACAGAAACATGAACAGGTAGATAATGAAACACTTACAAACATATACCAATTGAAAACCCTTTAGAAACCCCCTCCTCCAACAGCTAAATTTTTCTCAATTTTTAAAAAATACATTTGAAGTTCAAGAAAAATAAAACTGATCTATCTCGACCCAAGGTTTCAGTGGTGTACTTACAGCGTATACATGATCACTCCACAGGCCCACCTGTAGAACAAAGACAAAAAACAAAAAAACCAAAAACTCAGTAAGTAAGTAGCCAAATCAGCACACATAAATCTATATACTACAGGATGCAGTGTGAAGTCTCGACACAAGAAATCTCAAGGGCTTTAATCAACGGCAGTGTGGAGTTATTACATCCCGTCGGCATGGTTCCTGCACAAATGGTGTAGATCATTGAAGATGTTATTTGTTAATATTCTTTCTTTTTTGGGGCGGGTCCTGTGTCTCACTTTTAGTTCCGATATTTGTAAGTTATGTAAAAATGAGCCAGCAGGATACAAGTTGTTATGCTTAAAGAAAAAAAAAGAAAAGAAAAACGAGATGTGATGATGAAATTTGTTAATATTCTAGTTGAATAAAGAGAGAGAGAGAGAGAGAGAGAGAGAGAGAGAGAGAGAGAGAGAGAGAGACAGAGAGAGAGAGAGAGACAGAGAGTGTGTGTGTGTAAAAGTGTATACGTTTGTGTGAGTGTGCAAATATATATGAGTGCACATGCTGTGTACTTCCATCTTGGATGGAATTGAAGGAATGAGAGACAAGGAGGCACACAGTCAGAAAGCCAGCCCACAATGTGACAAGACAAAAGTCTTAGATGGAACCACCAGGGGAAGAGAAAGAGAGGAAGGCCGAGATCCACCTGGAAGCCAGATCTAGAGGCAAATCTTGGGCTAACAGGAGCACAATTGACTGGAGGTGGAGAAGATCTCCTAGAACAGAGACAGATGAAGAGCTCTTCTTTGCGGCCTTTACCCAATCCCATAGAGAAAGAGGGAAATGATAATGATGACGATGAGGACAGGAATAAATACGATGAGCAGAGCAGACTTACATGTCGACTTCTTTGCCGTAACCGGAGACGTTTTCGTACATGGAGTGAGCGAGCACTTCCGGGGCCAGGTAGCCTGGTGTCCCACACAACTCTGGGGAAGACCACGCATTTGTTTGAGCACAGAGAAGCACATTGACACAATCCTGATCATTTATTCATATGCTTGTTTGAGCAGAGAGAAACACATTGACACAATCCTGACCATTTATTCATATGCTTGTTTGAGCAGAGAGAAACACATTGACACAATCCTGATCATTTGTTCATATGCTTGTTTGAATGAAGTAAAGCACATTGCTTGGCACAATCCTGATCATTTGTTCATACGCTTGTTTGAGTACAGAGAAGCACATTGACACAATCCACATCATTTATTCATATGCTTGTTTGAATGAAGTAAATTGACACAATTTAGATCATTTGTTCATATTGCTTGTTTGAATGAAGTAAATTGGCACAATTCTGATCATTTGTTCATATGCTTGTTTGAATGAAGTAAATTGACACAATTTAGACCATTTGCTCATATTGCTTGTTTGAATGAAGTAAATTGGCACAATTCTGATCATTTGTTCATATGCTTGTTTGAATGAAGTAAATTGACACAATTTAGATCATTTGCTCATATTGCTTGTTTGAATGAAGTAAAGCACATTGCTTGGCACAATCCGGATCATTTGTTAATATACTTGCTCAAATAAAGAAAAGCACATTGACACACTCCTGATCATTTATTTGTTCATATATGCTTGTTGAATAAAGTAAAGCACATTGACATAATTATGCCCATTCATTCACATGTTTGTTCAAATACAGTGAGGCACATTGACACAATTATCATGATTGGAATTTGTGCTTACGTTTGTTAGAATAAAGAAAAGCATATGGACACAATCGTAATCTTTTAGCTTTAGTACGAGTTTTACAGTGCTTACAACACAATTAGAGCACATACGTTTCAAAGATTAGAGATATTCCTTGGGCATAGCATGTAAAAAAAAGGAGGGGAGATAAGGACGGTAGATTTTTTAATAAGAAAGGAGTAAACCACAAAAAAGCAACAGGCAACTTCCCACCAATTATGACCATAATTTATTCTAAGTTTGTTCAAATAAAGTAAAGCATATTGACATGATAATGGCTATTTATTTATTTGTTTGTTCACAAAAAAGAAAAGCGTATCTTCACAATAAAGGTCAATTGTTTGTTTAAGCAAAGAGAAGTACATCAACTCAAAAGCGGTCATTTCTTTATTTGAATTTTTTTTAAAGCACATTGACTGTCATTTGGTCATTTCTTTGTTCGCATACAGAGAAGTATATCAGCACAATAATGGTTAAGGAGGGGGAAGGGGGGGGGGGGGCGCGAGGAAGTTGTCATGGGCCAGTATGCATGAAACGATTTATATCTTATTTTATTATGAAGCACCAAAAGCCACTAGGGAGTGGGCCTTTACTATAATTTTAATTCTTTATTATTACTAATTATTTTTTATTATTATAATTAGAATTATAATAATAATAATAATAATAATTATTATTATTATTATTATCTATTACTAAGAATAAGAACAAAACCGAGGACCTGACTTATACTTAAATAAGGTTTAAGTTTAAGCCTGACAACCATAGCTGTTCGCTATCATAGAATTACAAAGTTCAATCAGCTCAGCATCTAGTTTTAAGAAACTGGACCTTAAAAATGTTGAGTTTCACAACATGTCTGGCTTTTTCAACAAACGCCACTCCTTGAATATCTTCATAACGACTCTGAATAATCTTACGATTCTAATAGAGCAGATAGAACATTTGGTTTCTGATCCCATAAAGTTAGCAACTAAAAACGGCCAAAAATGTCAGATAAAACTTTGTAATTTTAAGGCAGAGAGTTGTCTTCGCTTTCCGCAGGCTTCAGCACATCACCCAGCACATCATCCAGCTCTTCACGCAGCACATCACCCAGCACATCACCCAGCACATCACGCAGCACATTACGCAGCACATCACCCAGCACATCACGCAGCACATCACGCAGCACATCACCCAGTACATAACCCAGCACATCACCAGGACAGACAAAAGCCTTACCGACAAGTTCCTCTCCATCCTCCACCACGGTGGCAAAGCCAAAGTCGGAGACTTTGATGTTGAGATTGTCATCTAGGAGAATGTTCTCAGGCTGAGGGAGGACAGATGATAATAATGATAATAATAATAATAGTAATAATAATACTAGTCTTAAAAAATAATCATAATAGATAATCATTATCATAATAATAACAATGACAATGATGATGATGACGACGATGATAATGATGATAAGAACAATAATGATAATAACAAGAATAACGAATAGAATTTGTATTCCGCCAATTCCCATTCAACAGAAAGCTCTTTGCACTTTACAATCTGTATCAACAATACAGTGTCCTACAACAGAAGACAACCTTATATATGAGGGGGTGAGATGCAAAACTCGCAAAGCGATATTTTGGGACAAAAATTTAGATTTTTTTGCTTATAAATGCACATTGTTACCGGTTATCAGACGCACAAAGTGTTTTTGGTCAAAACTCAACACATACTTCATAAAAGCCACCCAAAAAATTTTTCTTTTACAGCATGTCCGTGCACATAGCAGCATTTTAAAAAAAGCTGATTTTCTCAAAAGTGCTGAAATGGATGCAGCGGGTGTTGCATTTCAGCCCCTCATATCGATCCCAACAAAGAATTAGTAGATGAAAAGAATAAAAAGAGGAACAACAATCAATCAAAAACACCTTTACAAAAAGTTGCAGACCATCGCTGTGCAGTGCCATTTCAGGACACGCAAGGAGTGGCCAGACCAATCAACGTCCTATTCATAGAACTAACAACAATATCAGACTCCCCCTTCCCCCCTCTCTCTCTCTCTCTCTCTCTGCGTTGTTCTCCTATTCATCCTTCCATCTCCCTCACCACGTACTGGTGAAAAATGTCACTTTTGTCAGCATAGCATCACTGTCAAAAAGGAATTTTTCATATTTGAACATCTATTTTTAGATCGAATAGAAAGGGATATTAGATGTCAGATCAGAGAATATAGATGAAAGGAGTGGACTGACTTTTAAACGGTCTTAACATTCTATTCATATGGCGTGATCATGTCATTCAACAAGAATTTCATAGTAAAAAAAATCCAAACCATTTGACTTCTACTTATCCTTCTGTCAGCATTCCCTTGTGATATAAACAAATTCACACCTGTCATAATGTCACAGAGGAATCCCCCATCCCCCACCCATCCTTTTTAAATGTTGGTATCTATTTTTAGAACTGACAAGCCAAGCACCAGAGAGGAGATGGCTCACACAAGATGGGATTAAACTTCCTTCTGTTGGTGCATCCTGTTTACCAGTTAACTAGGGGGGAAATTTGTACTACAGTATGACGCTATGACTCACAGGGCTGCCCACCCACCAGCAAATCAATGGCTGAGCCCAAAGTAAAGAGTGATTTTATCAACTTTTGGTCAAAACGGAGAAATTGATATAGGAAGTGAGATTTTTAAACCACTCTTTTACCTCTGTAAATATCTAATTCGGTATTGAGATATTAACGTTTCTTTTTTGGCAATACGTTATAGAGATTTCAATACAGAGATCCAGTCAAAATTTCAAACTTGTTTTTCTCAAAGGAGTGAAAAGTGGATATAGAATCTAGTCACTTCCTGTGCTCAGAGGTCAAATTTTTAAAGGTAAAATCAGGTTAAAAAATTAGTAATATAGCAATATATTGTCTTTTTCCCTAAGGCATTAAGGACAGGGGTTGGAGCTACAAGGAAGAAGGAAATGTAAACAAAGGCATGATGCAAGTGCTCTTATGCCGTATAAAATTAAATCCATCTATACAAAGCAAAATTTGTTTCATAATGTAGAGACGCATTAGAAGAAAATGCTTTCTGCTCAGTTACGATATTGGAGCATCTGTCAAACTACACTGAGATCACAGCTCCCTGTTCTTGCACAGAATCAAACCATAACACGTTACATTATTTTTGCCAAAATGATCAGAACAAATGGTGAACTCTCCACTCACCCATGTATAACAATATTAAAAATGAAGGATAAATGAAGGAGGGAACAAATAGAAGAAAGAATGAAGAATGACGGTCACGGTCACACGGTAGGCCCCCCACAGGACCTCTGAATCCGTCAAGAACATTCTACTCACTTTAAGATCTCTATGTACAATGTCCTTATCGTGTAGAAAGGCTACTGCTTCTATAAGCTGTCGCATGAATATTCTGAAAATAAAAAAAACAAGGGAAGAAAAAGATTACAATCAATTGGAATGGCAAGATCTCTATGTACAATCTCCTTATCGGGTAGAAAGGCTACAGCTTCTATAAGCTGTAGCATGAATATTGAATATTCTGAAAATTAAAAAAAACAAGGGAAGAAAAAGATTACAATCAGTTGGAAAGCCAGAAGGCAGTACATGTGCTGCAGCTGGTGCTAGTAGTCTCACACAAAGCAGGCAAGATACTCCAGGTCTTAGACATCCCTTTTCAGAGACACAGCGAGAGAGAAGGGGAGGAGGGAGGGGGGAGAGGGAGGGAGAGAGAGAGAGGGAGGGAGAGAGAGAGGGAGAGAGAGAGAGAGAGAGAGAGAGAGAGAGAGAGAGAGAGAGAGAGAGAG